TGACAAAGATGCATTTTGTGATACATCATGTTCCAGACACATCATGAAACTGCTCTCTCGGCATTATTCAAGCATATATCCTGTCAATCTCATTCCAGCGTAAATATTCGTAGTCTTTCATTAGATCGTCTGCACTATCGATTTCTCAGTTACTTGGCGAAGCACGTGTTCCTTCTATACCCTCTGCCACGGCCCCAACGAGTCCAAACCTGTCGAATGTCGTCCGACTCCCCGAGGTAATCAATATCAGTAGCCTTTCATTATATCGTGTGTACTATCGATTTCTCAGTTACTTGGCGAAGCACGTATTCCTTCTATACCCTCTGCCACGGCCCCAACGAGTCCAAACCTGTCCAATGTCATCCGACTCCCCGAGGTAATCTGTTTGTATTCACTTTGCCGCACTGGAAGTCTACGTTGTGCTATGCCACATAAGAATAAATTTCGCTTTTGCAAGATACAGCCCGTATCGAGAAGAGTGCCGCGACTACTACCACATGTGTTGAGAAACGCGGCTTTTAATTTCTTCCTCAATGATGAGCCTAATGTCTACTACTCCATGGGCAATCAATCAGAAAAATGCTTTTATTGTGGAGCATACATGTTCCCTGATGAGCAATTGAGTAGAAGAACCGCGGGGATACCTAAATTCGGAGAGCTCTGTTGCAATAATGGGAAATTACAGGTGAGTACTACGGTTCTTACTATTCGTGTCATAGAATCTCTGATATAACGCTAATTCGATCAGTTACCTCCTTTGCCACAGCTACCTCCCTTGATGCGGCGATTGTTTGAGTCAGCGGACACAACCAGTAGGGCTTTCTTGGGGACAGACTATATGATCCAAATCTATGTTCATTTACCGTAGGATCGGCATTGATAGGATGGAGGCTCGGGATAGTTCCCAGAATAGTAGTCGCCATTGCCTGAAAGGTGATTGATCATAGAATGCATCTGGTTGAGTAGCGGCTACCTGTATGGCTCAGGTTTGAATAGGTTCCGACCATCCTTCATCTCTACAGCGGTACAACCCGTAGTTTCTACTCCTTCATTCCCAACTACACTGCGATTACGCTAAAAATTTTATGATTTTGGATCTGGAATGCCTCATGCAATTTTCATTCTTTTCTTGCAAAGATCGTGCAATCTCGAGCACTCCCGCTCAGTTCCTCTCAATTCCAGGTAATTTCAAAAACGTCTTTCTCGCGATATCCTGCGCGTTCACATTCCTTCCAACATGTCGTTATGCTCCTCTCGACTATTTCTATCTCATTCTCGATACCTAATGAGCCCAACCTGCTTTTTCCCTCCAATCATAGCATTTCTACTCATTCCACAACGTGGAATCTGTCCTTGCAGCTGTCGTGCATTTTCCCTGCACTGCATGTACTTGCATTTCCTGCACATGCACTAACTTCCATAAGATGAATCTGCAATTCGGTCGCACTCTTTTCTCTTTACCTCTGACGTCGCGTTTACATCAGGTATCTTATCTTACACAAGATTATATTATATAATTTGAAATGGCTTGCCCCATATGCAACACATCCCATTCTACCACTCTCCTCCAAGAGAACAAAAACACTTCCAACGTTGACTATATTCTCTGCCCGAGTTGCAGCGATGAAATCGAGGCTTTCATCGATATGACAAACAGCGACGATCCCATTCATCATCCCCATCATAATGAAGGCAGTGATGATGATGGTGCTGAGGACTATGAAATCGACGACCATGACGACAATGATAGCACACTCCATGACATTGAAAGTCACCGTTGTCATGATAGGCCTACTGATGACGAAAGTGACCATCACCACGATGAAGCAATAGGACAAAATCTTGATGATGCCAGCTATGCTACGTCTCCTCGACGTAAAAAGCATCGGTCCTCATGATTCATGTTCATTCCCATAGTGTGCGACCTAACACTTTTTGTGTTGTCAATGCATTGGGTATTCAAGCGATTCAACATTGCCTAATTCCACGAAACTCTTCTCTAGCCAATATCCAATTAAGCCAATCTTCCTGCCTATGTCAGCGACAACTACCCCTTCAGCGAAGAGAAGACGTTTGTCTAACAATGTGAGAAAGTTCAACGCGCTTACCAAGCTTTATTCTCAATCTCTCATGTGAATAGACGCATTTGTATAATACTTACTCCTTTTAGGTAGATGACGAAACTTCGACGTCCTCAAGTATTCCTACAAGTCCCTCTAATGGTCAATCCGACGATGTTATACCTTCTATACCCTCTGGGGTGACCCCAATGACTAGCAAGGTATCTGTAATTTGAATTGGTGCATTTTATTACACGTCCTCTCTAGGTACATGATGAAAATACTATCCCCAAGACCATTCTGAACCTCCAAGCTGTGAATAGCCCTACAAGTATTTCCAACCTACATTGTATTAACTCCTCCATCGAGGTAGCTGCTACTCAACTGCACCCGTTTCATGATGGATCATCTTCCAGGGAATGAAGACTACTATTGCGGGAACTATCCCGAGCCTCCATCCTATCAATGCCGATCCTACGGTAAATGAACATAGATTTCGATCATATAGTGTGTACTACCCATTTCTCAGTTACTTACTGAACCTCCTTTCTCTTCTATACCCTCTGCCGTGACTCGGATGACTAGCGAGGTAGCTGTTATTCGAATTGTTGCATTTCATAATACGTCATCTTCTAGGCACATGATGGAAATACTATCCCCAGCACTGCTTTGGACCTCCACACTGTTAGTAGCTCCACACCTATACCGAACCTTCATTGTAGCAACTCACCCCTCGAGGTAGCTGCTACTCAACCAGATGCATTCTGTGATTAATCATTTTTCAGGCAATGGAGACTACTATTCTGGGAACTATCCCGAGCCTCCATACTATCAATGCCGATCCTACGGTAAATGAACATAGATTTCGATCATATAGTCTGTACTACCCATTTCTCAGTTACTTACTGAAGCTCCTATCTCTTCTATACCCTCTGCCGTGACTCGGATGACGAGCGAGGTAGCTGTTACTTGAATTGGTGCATTCCATAATGCGTCATTTTCTAGGCACATGATGGAAATACTATCCCCAGCACTGCTTTGGACCTCCACACTGTTAGTAGCCCCACACTTATTCCCAACCTTCATTGTAGCAACTCACCCCTCGAGGTAGCTGCTACTCAACCAGAGGCATTCTATGATTAATCATTTTTCAGGCAATGGAGACTACTATTCTGGGAACTATCCCGAGCCTCCATCCTATCAATGCCGATCCTACGGTAAATGAACATAGATTTCGATCATATAGTCTGTACTACCCATTTCTCAGTTACTTACTGAAGCTCCTATCTCTTCTATACCCTCTGCCGTGACTCGGATGACTAGCGAGGTAGCTGTTATTCGAATTGTTGCATTTCATAATACGTCATTTTCTAGGCACATGATGGAAATACTATCCCCAGCACTGCTTTGGACCTCCACACTGTTAGTAGCCCCACACTTATACCGAACCTTCATTGTAGCAACTCACCCCTCGAGGTAGCTGCTACTCAACCAGATGCATTCTATGATCAATCACCTTTCAGGCAATGGCGACTACTATTCTGGGAACTATCCCGAGCCTCCATCCTATCAATGCCGATCCTACGGTAAATGAACATAGATTTGGATCATATAGTCTGTACTACCCATTCCTCAGTTACTTACTGAAGCTCCTATCTCTTCTATACCCTCTGCCCTGACTCGGATGATTAGCGAGGTAGCTTTTATTTGAATTGGTGCATTTCATAATACGTCATCTTCTAGGCACATGATGGAAATACTATCCCCAGCACTGTTTTGGACCTCCACACTGTTAGTAGTCCCACACCTATACCGAACCTTCATTGTAGTAACTCACGCCTCGAGGTAGCTGCTACGCAACTACATGAGTTTTATGATGAATCATGTCCCAGGCAATGGAGACTATTATGGGAACAATTCCGAGCCTCCATCCTGTCAATCCCAATCCTACGGTAAATATACACAGGCTCTAATCATGTAGTGTGTACTCCCGACTCCTCAGTTACTTGGCGAAGCTCCTATTCCTTCTATACCCTCTGTCGTCACTCCGATGACCAGCCCCACAATTATTCCAAATCTCCAATGTATTGATTTTGCTCTCGAGGTAGCCGTCATTTGAAGAGATGCATTTCATAATGTGTCATCTTGCAGGCACTTGATGGAACTACTAATCCCATAACTATTTCGGGCCCTCCTCCTGGCAATAGTTCTATTCCGGAAGTGGGTGCCATTGACAAAGATGCATTTTGTGATACATCATGTTCCAGACACATCATGAAACTGCTTCTCTCGGCATTATTTCAAGCATATATCCTGTCAATCCTCATTCCAGCGTAAATATTCGTAGTCTTTCATTAGATCGTCTGCACTATCGATTTCTCAGTTACTTGGCGAAGCACGTGTTCCTTCTATACCCTCTGCCACGGCCCCAACGAGTCCAAACCTGTCGAATGTCGTCCGACTCCCCGAGGTAATCAATATCAGTAGCCTTTCATTATATCGTGTGTACTATCGATTTCTCAGTTACTTGGCGAAGCACGTATTCCTTCTATACCCTCTGCCACGGCCCCAACGAGTCCAAACCTGTCCAATGTCATCCGACTCCCCGAGGTAATCTGTTTGTATTCACTTTGCCGCACTGGAAGTCTACGTTGTGCTATGCCACATAAGAATAAATTTCGCTTTTGCAAGATACAGCCCGTATCGAGAAGAGTGCCGCGACTACTACCACATGTGTTGAGAAACGCGGCTTTTAATTTCTTCCTCAATGATGAGCCTAATGTCTACTACTCCATGGGCAATCAATCAGAAAAATGCTTTTATTGTGGAGCATACATGTTCCCTGATGAGCAATTGAGTAGAAGAACCGCGGGGATACCTAAATTCGGAGAGCTCTGTTGCAATAATGGGAAATTACAGGTGAGTACTACGGTTCTTACTATTCGTGTCATAGAATCTCTGATATAACGCTAATTCGATCAGTTACCTCCTTTGCCACAGCTACCTCCCTTGATGCGGCGATTGTTTGAGTCAGCGGACACAACCAGTAGGGCTTTCTTGGGGGCTATCAGGGTCTATAACTCCGCATTGAGTATGGCTTCTATGGTTTGTAATTCTATCATATCTAATTCTTCTGCGCCACAATCATTCCGTATTCAAGGGCAAATTTACCGTTTCATAGGCCCTCTTTATCCGACGGGGTCGCTATCACCGCGCGGCCTCCAGACTTATTTATATTATGATAATCAGGAGCAATTGCGCCACAGATTGAACGCTTCTCCTGTACCGGAGCGTTTGAATCGGGGACTCCTTGCTGAATTACAGCGGGTTTTACAATCCTGTAATCGGTATGTGCGCTCATTTCGGACCATACACACACTCATATCATCGAACTTACTGAATCCTGTGGACGTTACTCTGACTATCCATCCCAATCGGCCCGTCACACATGGCCACCCAGGGCGCTACAATGTTCCCACCACCGAAAACCCAGAGATAGCCATTCTCATACCAGGCGGCGAGGATGCACATCCACGAGGTATAGTTCTACAAGACACTGCCGATGAGCTCACGTTCATTAGCGAATTGCACCGTAGTTATGATCCTCTTCATTACGTTATTTTCTTCCCTCATGGCGAAGATGGCTGGCACGATGAGATCACACACTCATCAAGACGTGTGTCAGCGTGTGACTTTTACGCTTACCGCATCCACAAGCGGGATACATTCAATCCAATCATATGTGGGCGTCGACTTTTTCAGCAGTATGTTGTTGATATGTATGTGAAAATAGAGAATAGCCGCTTGCATTGGGTGCGTACTCACCAAGCACAGTTACGTTCAGAAACGTATGCAGGCTTAGTTGACGCCATCGACAATCGTCAAGGCGAACTTGCCGGTAGGCGTGTAATCCTTCCAGCATCTTTCACTGGGAGTCCACGGTACATGATGGGGCTCTATCACGATGCCATGTGTATAGTGAGAACCTTTGGGAGGCCGCACTTATTCATCACCATGACATGTAACCCTAATTGGCCCGAGATATCTTCTGCACTCGAACCCGGACAAAAACCTACAGACCGACCGGACGTCGTTTGTCGCGTGTTTCGTTTGAAATGTAAGAGACTGATAAAAGATATAGAAGAAGGCATTTTCGGCGACTTCTTTGCTTTTGTCCACTCCATTGAGTTCCAAAAAAGAGGCTTACCACATCTTCATATGTTAGTTATATTGCGACATGATCAATTCACGATTGATCAAGTTGATTCTCTCATATCTGCCGAAATACCAGATCGTGTTTCAAATCCACATTTGTACTCTATAGTTACTCGCTGTATGATCCACGAACCATGTGGAGAAAATAATCCTAACGCCCGATGTATGGGAGGCGGTGCCTGTACCAAAGGCTTTCCGAAACCATACGCATCTCATACCACATTGGGTAGTAGCTCATATCCAGAATATAAGCGGCGGCCGCCCGCTGAAGGTGGGCACTCTTTCACCAAGCGAAAGCGTGATGGTAGCCACACTACAATCACCAATCAGTGGGTTGTGCCATATTGTCCGTGGTTAACATGCCGATATGATGCTCACGTTAACGTAGAGTACTGTGCCAGTATCAAAGCGGTTAAGTACTTATATAAGTATATCTTTAAGGGCCATGATCGAGCTATGTACTCGATTGGTGCATCGAACCCTGCGCCGGTCTCTCACAATGATTATCTTCAACCATCATCGACGAATTCAGATCAAGATCAACCAATCGATGAGGTTAATGATTATATTGACTCGAGATATGTAGGTTGCACTGAAGCAATGTGGCGCATTTTCAAATTCCCTCTCCACGACCGTTCTCATACGGTTCTTCGTCTCCCGGTTCATCTTCCCAATCAACAACATGTCCACTTCGTTGATGGACACTTCATGGATGCCATGATGCGAGGTCCCCCCGTTACAAAATTAACAGCATACTTCCAAACTAACTCACCAGATCATCCCGACTATGCTCTGGCCTGTACTTTACTATATCCTGAATTCCCTAAATACTTCACGTGGACTAAGAATCAAGGAGGATATGCATGGTCTCGGAGGAGGTCTCCGTCATCGACCACAATTGGCCGGCTGTGGATGGCTCAACCTGGAGAAGGAGAGCGGTTCTACTTACGACTGCTCCTTCATCATATCCGAGGAGCCCAATCATTCGTACATATGCGCACCGTGAACGGTGTTGTTCATGATACTTTCCGAGATGCTTGCTTAGCCCTCAATCTTCTTCAAAGCGATGAAGAATGGGATAGGTGTCTCACAGAAGCATCTCTGGCCTCAACAGCCTCTTCACTCCGGGCATTATTCACCACCCTCCTTATCTTTTGTGAACCAGGTAATCCATCGCAACTATTAACTGATCATGTTACATCTCTTGCGGAAGACGTCGAGTTCTTCCTGCGAAGCAACCCCTTGGTTGGTCCTCCACAGAATGAACTCCGTGACTTCCTAATACTGTGCATTCTCCACGATGTTTCAGGACGTCTTCTTTCTCATTCCCGTGCTCTTTCGGACTTTGCCCTGGATACCACATATGATCGACTCATTCGAACTTTCTCCAACTACGATGTCGACAATATCCTCTATCACCACAACCCGAGTACTAATACTGCTATTTCTCGGCAGGAACTCGCGAGTTTAGTCACAAGCCAAGAATTATCACTAACTCAAGATCAACGTGCAGTATATAACTTATTATGCAATAAGATTGATAGGAATCAGGGAGGATTCATCTATATCGATGCACCCGGAGGTACAGGAAAGACTTATCTCATAAACCTTCTAATAAATAGAGCAGAACTCCGACGACAAAAGCCTCTCGCATGTGCGTCGTCTGGAATAGCATCAACCTTGCTAAAAGGAGGTAGAACTGCTCACTCTTTGCTAAAGCTACCAATTCCTGCAACACCCGATTCCGTTTGCAACTTCACTCCCCGCTCTCAAGCAGGAAAAACATTGATGCATGCAAACTTCATCGTTTGGGATGAAGCTCCTATGATGCACAGATGGTCTCTCGAAGCTTTGGACCGTTCTCTTCGAGATCTCCTGAGGTCAAACCGTCCTTTTGGTGGGAAACTCTTGATCCTTGCAGGAGATTTCCGACAGGTTACTCCAGTATTGCGAAGGGCCGGTAGACCTCATATTGTTAACGCTTGCATCTGCAAGTCACCTTTGTGGTCATCTGTAACGAAATTACGTCTAACAACGAACATGCGTTGCCATTCCATAGCGAATGATTCAAATTACCATCGCATCACGTCATATTCGCAATGGCTCCTACAACTAGGAAATGGTAGTCTACCTACACCTCTCCCTTTCACTCGCGAATCTGGCATTATATCATTACCTCCATGTATCACACTAACCGAAGCATCCTCAGAATCTCTTATCGATTTCGTATATTCAGACATCACTAATACTTCCAATTATACAAATCCTGATTGGTTTCATGATCGAGCTATTCTCAGTCCGACTAATACTGTAATCGATGAAATGAATCATAAAATTATCAATCGAATCCCAGGGAGGCTATTTACATTGCCAAGCGCGGATTCAGTCTCTGACTCTGAGAGTTCCCTACCTATTCCTATCGAATTCCTCAATTCTATCACTCCATCAGGATTACCACCACATATATTGCACCTTAAAGTTCACACGCCTATTATGTTACTCAGGAACCTAGATCCCAAAAACGGTCACTGTAATGGTAGCAGGTATACTATCAATGAGTTTATTGGCAATCCCGTCAGAATCATCCGTGCTACTATGTTAGGTGGTCCACACTCTGGGGAACAGATTTTGATCCCCAGAATCGGGCTAATTCCATCAGATTCTGACCTGCCATTTTCTTTTGTTCGGCGGCAGTTTCCAGTGAGGGCCTCACTGTGTGTAACGATTAATAAGGCCCAGGGTCAATCACTCAAAAAAGTGGGAGTTTATCTCCCCCAACCTGCGTTCAATCATGGGCAATTATATGTGGCGGCCTCCCGCGTGGGTGACCCCAGCCATATCAAGTTCGCTGTAGACCAATCGCCTTATATAGATTCACAACAAATTACTACCCACAATTCTGTCTCTTCGGTTTCTCAGCTTCCTGCGTCAACTTTCACAACAAATGTAGTCTATCATGAAATCGTAGCATAATTTTCGATGAGCGTTTTCGTATGGAATATTGATGAATTATCATGCTTTCTTGCATCACAACAAACTGTTACATTCTCTTTCTGTTTTCTTCCATAATCATTCTTTTTTTCTCATATGATTTACTACCTCTTCTTCGATAGTTCGATTGTCATTTTATATCGTTCATCACTAACAATGTTCGCTTCTAATTCTTAATCGCCATTGGTTTGTATATGCCGTCTGTTACTTACAAGATGTTACGTACACTTATTCAGTCATTCAGTTCTGTCGTGAAGCCTGCTCGGAGTAGACCAGCCTCAGAGTTTGCCCTCTGTAGTGTCCCTGATTTCTCTCATCGTTACTACACGGTGTGCTCTTGGCGGGGTGGGTTACTGTCTTCCTCAGCTATAAGACGCAAAATCAAGTATGGATGTGTCGGCTCGAGTGTTCTATTGACCTTCATGACCAAGTACCACATTTGCAACATGACATACAAGCGTAATGTGTTCCGGTGTTAACTGCAAATACTGTTGAGTTAAACAATACATCACTCTTACATTGATATCAGTTTCGTCTTCCTTTACACTATAGCTTCAAAATCACAAACTATTCCGTCGGTATCACTCATTAGATGGCTAACTATCAATTCGATACTATCGAACGTCCTATTCTACTATTCTGTGTTGTTCATATTCAGCGTTCTCAGTAATAACTTGGCGTGTAAGTTATTACATCAATCCCTCCCTTGAACAATGTCCAATACGTCTTCTATAGACGCAAGCTCGCCCACTACGGCATGTGCCGTTTGCGAGGCTCCCAATCCTGCTACTACTAATACTTCTTCCACTTTCATATGTGAAGTTTGCAGTGATATTATCTCGGCATCATATGATATCGCTGATGATGAAATGCTCACCAAGGTACGTCTTACCGATCAGTTGCAATACTTAACATATGAACGTCCGATTTGCCTTCACGTTTTTTCAGGTTACAATGGAAAAATATGATGCTTACTACAAACAATTTGAGTCTGCTACTAATTCGGCACCATCGAGAATACCGAATCCTACTATGGAAGATTTGATGGTCGATTTGACTCCTCTCTTACCGCAGGTATTAACTCCTAACATCTATGCTCCGAACTCATAACGTTAACTTGACCCATTTCCTTTCAGGTCCAACTTCGATCAGAACCTCCTCCTCATCGTACATCCATGCGTCTCAAGAAAAGAAAACGAGGTCATAATCTCGACTGATGCGCATAACAGCATGCCAAAGTTGTTCACGTTGTGGCGAAAGCATCATGCCTGTCTCTTTTGCGTTCAGTTCTCGGAACATCGTACATCTAACTTCTCTCATCGTTAAAAATCTGCCTTCAAGTACATTATTACTTCACCCATTCTCTCCTTGGAGCGTAGCGACTCCCGGAGCGTAGCGACGGGGTTCCACTAGTCCCAGTAATAACTTGGCATGCCCTCGGCAACACTGACGGTGAAAAACTCCCCTGGAGACGGCGTCTCCGAGACGCCAAAAATTTAACGACCGTAACTTTAACGAGGCCAAGCAACATCATAAGCCAGTGGTTACTCTACCCAAGAAGAAACGTGTGGAACGTCACGTGCCACAATATAGTGCGCGCATCATGAGCAGAGAGTCGCACGCCACGAAAACACGAGAATGGAATCGAAGCAGATTACATATGGTAGACGTTTGGCCAACGTCGTTGGCCAAAATATATGATGTGCGATGTATATAATGTAAAATGAATGCCGTTTATCCACAATTTTATATGCCTGGAATTTCGAGTTTCGACTTCCTGGGAGCCATAACGCGTCTTATCTTTCATAATGTGTGGTCATCGGTATTTTGCACCACGCAAGTGCAACTCAAATGATTATCCTTCTCATAATAACACCGCTCATTGACGCCTCGACTAAATGCGCGTAGAACGACATAATGCTGCAAATGTGAAATCTGTCATAGTATACTCGAAACTCAACAGCAGAGCGGACATAATCGCAATCTTTCCACATCATGAGCGCCGTCGCGAAGGTCGTTCCGTGTGCCAGAAGTTATATCCAGCTTCTCCAAGAAGATTCCAAAAATCGTTGTATGGCCTATCTTCACTCAAATCTTTGGCCAGAGCGGTCATGCATTCACCCCAGCAGCTCACAGCTGCGCCAAGCACCAAATGCTCATGCTCTATCTTAACGAGGTGACCATTAGGGCCTGGTGTCTGTGAACCACTCCTGTATGCATCGAATTTGCGGATAGCTTCAACTGTAGGCTGGAACTTCGCGTCAAGGTAAAGTCTACTGAGACACATGTTGATAGCACTGAACCCTCGGGTGATCACATCCCCGAGTAGGATCCTGCCGGACATCTCGAAGGACTTCCAGACTGTAACTATGTCATTGTGCTCAACACCCCCAACTAGGAAGGATTCTTCCCAACGCATATTGTGGAGACGTGCATCACGTGGTCTATATTTTTTCAGCTTAGCTTCGAATGCTCGATGCGCCCGATCATTGGAAACCTCATCCCCACCTAGATGAAGCCCCAGTGGCAATTCGGCATGTAGTGCAGTGACAGGCAGGAGCTCTTCGAGCTCAGTGAGTACAGTAGAAAACAGCTGCCACATAGACTCACTATTAGGATCTAGGTAATCCTCAACAACATGCTCGGGATGAGACTTCTTCCAGGCTCCAGCGTGACCTGGGATGTCTAGCTCAAGCACTATCATGATACCCAATGAGGCAGCCATTGCGAAGATCTCTTCCACTTCTCTCTTCGTGTAATATCCTCGAACTGCACCTCCCCTGCTGCAAGCTCCTCGACTCTTATGAGCTAGCTCTGGCGCCGAGTCCAGCTCGATTACGAAGCATTGATTATCAGTGCTGTGCAAGTGCAGAACATTGAGGCCTGCTTCTTTTGATGCAAAGTCGATTATACGTGTCAATTCAGCAACCGATAGGAAGACATGTGAGACATCCAGAAGGAGCCCACGGTAAGCCAGACCTAACGGAGCTGGCGTTATCTGGACGAAACCGCGTGCTACTCCGCACGCGCTGTCTAATGCTCGTAAGGCCCCTTGGATGCCGCTGGCCTCGATGTGCACCATCTGCTCTGTCGCGACAGTTACCTCGAAGGCTTCATTAGTAACGTTGAACGGTTCACTCAGGCCATCGAACGCGACATCCAGTCGCAATGGGCGGGCATTCGTACAACTTCTATTATAACGTCGCCAGAGTAGCTCCACTTGATCAGCTGTGCATGCCTTGCAGAATAGACCCAGCTCGACTCTGTCGTCTGATGCTCTCAGGGTATGGTCACCTATATGCGCCAAGAGAACTAGGGTCCATACCACAGTGCCGGTAGCGATACCGAGTATGACTGAACGAATCCGTCCGAGTTTCAGCATGTTAAAGTATGTGCTGTGAATTGATTCAAGACACTATGAGGGAAACCAATACAGGTTGATTCAAAAACGAGTAACAAGGTCAAATCAACAGAAGTCAGTGTACGTATGAATGAGTTTGAATTCCTATACTCATCGGCGCTTCCCGTTGGAGGAGAAACTGAGACTGAGAGTATTGCCGCGTCATGCCCAAGGCTACTTGCCGCACCTGAAGCACCATGGACAACAACTTCCCGAAGGCATTCTCCACTCTACTCTGATGACAAGGGCAGCTGCATGAGCACACCGACCATGATGCCTCCTGGCATCGGAGCATGTGCATAGACAATGAATCACATTTCCGGTCCTCTCCTCCAGCTGTACCTGATGCAAAAGACGAGGAGCAGCGGATTCCTGAGGAAATTCTGGCTGGATAAGCACGCTGCTGAGGGACCAATGAACGTCGTAGTGTTGCGCTCACTTCAACAGTATTGTACTCGCTAGTAGCTGCCCAGACACAGGCCTCTGCGAGGGGACGCAAATTCTGGACCTTCCCATAGGCCGCTTCCATCGAAATACCGAGATCCCAACGGTCCATTGCAAAGCGGATTCGCCTGGCATTGGGCATCCGAGTCTAAAAAACCGAAATGATGGTAGATGGTAGAGTCATAGACAGTCACTTTTAGTGGCCGTTATGAGTATATTTATGAATGTAAGAACACCAGTAAAGCACTCGTAGTTATCGGACAGCAAAAGTAGAAGGATACGGAACCGGTGGATCAGGTTTGAAAGCTCACCGCAGCTATTCGACTCAGGCTCTCCTTGTCTAGTCGAACGACCGTGCCATTGTCGTATACCCAGCTGAGCCATGCCCTCCAAGGCTCTGAAACCTGCAGAGTGCTTCGATCTCCTACGACTATGACCTGCGATGCAATCGCTGAACTACGGACATCGTAAGTATCTCACTCCATATCGAGCTCTAGTGAGCATCACATTCACACGACGATAGTCATTCAGGAAGCCTACCGAGTACTCAGGGTTACTTCGAACCTAACACATAGACATCAGAAAACTGACAGAACCGACCGTGGGTCACCGCCGAGAATACGATCCAGGATCGTTCACTGCCTTGGAAGGCGTCAACTGAATCTACAATGGGGTCAGGGATACTTGTGTTAGGACCAAGCTCTCTGCACCTGAGTGAACCGTACGCGCTGGTTCGGAGCATAAGCAGCTTACTTGCGATGATCACTGTCAGCGTAGGCACCATCGACAATATTAGTAGGAATGAGATGCAACTGGCGCCTCAGATAAGTTCTCTGCGCTGCGTAGGGCGTCACCACTCCGATCTGTCAATACACTGGTGACCTCAGCAAGTGACCCATCGAGCTCACATCGGAGTCATCAGCACCCGTGGCGAGCAGGGAGTCAACTGTCTGGATAACTGCGTCCGCCTCCTGTACATTATAGTAGCTGTCACAACCCTTGTCGAAAGCCTCTCGGGTGGCCCCTGCATAAAATCTATCCTCATCACTGTTGTTCATATACGTAGCTTACCCCCGGTGTCTACAAAGACAACACGACTGCCATGAACAGAGACAACTCGATCTGCGAAGATATGCGGCAACATTAGAGGGGGCCAAAACTTTGACTTCCAGCTTGGGTGACTGGTAAGCTGATGGTCATAGAAGTGCTGGCTTGAGAATGCCGCCACTTCAGGGTGCATCCTAAACTGCTCGCGGAGGAGCTTAGGCGGTCCCAAGCTAAAAACCAGCAGCTGATAACGTTATCGAAGGATGCACTGGTATCACACGGCATAACATTACATCACTACTAAGGGGTAATATGATAGTCCGAGAAGAATCAAATCTGTTTTGTCGATAATGAGTGCATCAGCAACGAGTCAAATGACTTCGGCAACAAGATTGTGCATAGAGTGCCTACTTAGAATCAAGTAGTTCATCGAAAAGGCTGAGGCCTCCACTAACAGACGAAAGCTGGCGATCATCACCGAGTAGTATAACTTGTTCAGCGCCCTGACAGTGGCTTGAACACACATATTGTACACAATGTTATATACCTGCATTATCGGAAGCAGCGTTCCTGCGATGGTCAGCTGACTCGCCTCATCTACTATCACTCGAGGGAGCTTCCTGCTAGACACCAAAGCTGCACTGTAGACTGTTTCTACATACACAGTCCCAGGTAAGATGGTATCTATGAGCACTTATTCGCGTGCCACAAAATTATTGAGGCGTTGCCTGTCTTAGACCGGTATCGCTTTGATCGGCCCACTCGGTTGTTCTCCTCCTCAATACCACTGTAGACGGGAGGTGGCGTCACTGAAATACCCTGAGCCTCCAGCTGGGCATGGAGTAGTGCTCGAGCTGCATGAGTTCCAGCACATACCAGTATCGGGAACTCGGGATTAGTCCTGCGACCGAGCTCAAAGTTACAAACGACACATACAGGGATCGAACCCGGGTGATCTACTTGAGCCAATGCTTGACAATAGCGACCACTACGAATGTCTTCCCGGTGCCTGGAGGCCCTTGTATTAGCGTAAGACGGGACGAGACGGCGGCTCGAACTGCCGACTTCTGTGATTCGGTGAGGCCTTCGAGGTCCACAGGAGTGGGCTGGACAGAAGCTGGATCAATTCAGCAGATTTACCACGCATGCACAACGCGCCTCTGGAATCCATTCTATCCGTTCCTGAGCCGCTTGGGTGTGTCCCTCGAGCAGTAAGCGGCGGATGAAAGGAGCCTGCCGACCCATATCATTGCTGCTCACGGCGAACACAGCTGATAGCTCCCGACTGCTAACCTGAGCCGCCCAGCATCGCCACAGTACAAGGCTGCGATTGTTGACTTACTTGTGGTATATTGGCCGTCACAGGGACGCAGAGCCAGTCTATTTGGCCATTATCTATCGCTACTGTGAACGCAGTGATCGCAGTGGAGGCAGATTTAGTGCGCTCGTTATGCTGATCCTGGGAGCCCAGGACCTCAGTCAGAGCCTCGGGTGATGCTGGAAAAACCTTGAGAAGGATGAACGAATCGGACGGCAGTGGTCGCTGCTACTCACCTTGAGACGTATCTCACCGAGATTCCCATTCCGAGAGACTCTGGTCAACTTCCCAAGCCACAGCTCATCCGTCGGGAACTGCACTGGCTGCTGTGCACGGGGTCTCCGGCCGAAACTATGACACTTGCATCGTAGCTCAGTCCTGCCTGCGAGATGGTGGTCCACCCAACTACTCCCAAGTGGCAGCTATAGCACACCTTCGAGATGGCTCTCGGCACTCACTCTCAGCTCGGACTGCTCGCAGGCAGCACAGTTAACAGTAATAGTCTGCTTTGCCAGGGGGGTGTCGGCGGATATCCGCAAACGAGGGTAAGCGAAATATCGCGAGTCGTTATAGACCTTCGCACACTACCAAGAGGATAACAGCAGTTCATCAGTGACCATCAAACTTTCAAACATCAACTCTACGTGCTCAATCAGTCACTGCTAAAATTTGAACTGAAATGTTCTCCTCCCTACCCTACCGAGCCGAGGAAGTCCAGAGTGGTGAGCTGATCGGGATGTGATCGGCCTATGAGAAACACATCTCCTCGAGCATAGTTCCACATACGGCTGTCGTCCAAGTAGTGACTCGAGCTGTACTTGCCTTGACCAATATCAAGGAGGAAGCGCACTTCAGAGGTAGAGCTGAGGACGTCACGGAGGACAACCTGAATGCCAACGATACCAAACATCTCATTTTTCTAATAGTCTTAAATGAGCGGAGCGAAGCATCGGCACACGCAGTATGGAGATTGTAAAATCAGGCATACAGAATTCCAGAAAAGTTTTCCAAGGCCACTCTCAGGACAACTCACGTTTATTTTGAGCTCACGCTTGAAATTGACATATGAATCGGCAATGGCATTAGCCTGCTGTCGAATAATAGCAACCGCTTGGTTATGATAGAACCTACGAGAAGCAACCTGCCTACTCTCAGGACGATGAATGAATCAAATGCTCATTGAGAACTCCCAGAGATCGCTGAACTCACGCTGCGGCTCTAACATCTCCTCCAAAGCTGGCCTCAGAGAGACTGAGATGCTGGATGACATAGTCCATCATGATACGTGATATTCGTGGTTGAAGAGAACATATTTGTAGGAAGTAGGTGAAGGCGACTGGAGACAGGCTTGGAAGCTCACTGCTCGTCTTCTTGCCCACTGGCGCTGAACAATCAACAGCAAGCTCACGTCTGAAGCTGAATGCTTGGGAGGCCCTCGAGGCCTCTTCCTTACCGAGTATGGTTGTGGCTACATACTCTGGATCGTACTCACCGTTGGGAGGAGTCTCTCTACTGAGTTGAGACATCCGTCGCTTCAGAAGCGTCAGCCACTACGTGGAAGCATCTCGACGATCCCGAGCATCCCTCTATAACCCACCCGTCTATCCACCTCTCGATTTTCCAGGCCGAGGTCGCGTAGCCTGACCAACATCTCGTTCACGTCCCTTCCCTCGAAAACTGCTACACCATCTTCTTGCCGCTGTCGCAGGGCCCGCTTGAGAGCGCGGTCCAGCAGCTGAGTTACGCTAGTCGTGGCGACCCAAGCTGGGAGAGCTCTGACGGGGACTTCATAACGATGAGCTCTCGGTTTAAAGATATGTACTTGATAACGTCACCACATATCCGGCTAAGTCCAGCATCTTCTTCCTTGGTCCACGGGCGATTAGAATAACATCGTTTCAGAACGTGCCAGAGGGACGCATATTGTAATTTGGTACTGGTCTGTGGTGGCAATAGGCGGTGGCTGAGGAGCATTTAATTGATGACTCAAAAACACTTTCGGCGGAGCGGTAGTGATGTGGGGTCTCTGCACGAGTTACTTCGGTTAACACAAGGACGAATAAAATGACAGAAACTCGCACATAGGACATGAGGATCAATCCACGAACCAAATCCGAGGAGCTCGACAGTTTTCTATCTTCCCTCGATAGGCATTCTTGTGATCATCAAATCCAGCAATACCAATCTTGGGGAACTGAACTTGTCCATCCTTCCAAACCTGATAGGATCATGCTGCGCCCTCAATGCTCATGGTATGCCTCACAAGGCAATGGCAGTTGAGATTCAAAGCAGGAGTTGGGAAAAGTGCTATACGGTGCTTGTTAGTCGTAAGCCTTCCTTACCATGCGCCCTCGTCGGATAGCTGTCTTATACTTGCGACGAACATTCAAGCGGTTGTAGAAGCGCCATATAACCGACTTCGAGAGGTGTATCTTCCATCGCTGCTGACCACACGTGAGGAGGCCTCCTGATGGTCTCTGCACTACGGGTTGCCGTAGAAGGCTCAATGAGGATAACATGGAGGACGAAATCAAACACCGCCGCCTAGAATCGAACCGGGGACCTAGTGACGCTTGATGACACTACAGAGAGTACGGTAATCTTTCACGGTCGATCTAAGTTCTTTGCGAACGGCTATGCGATAGGCTGTCTACTATCTGCGAGGCTGAAATATGAAAACTGAGTGAACGCAATAGCGTCAGTTGTTCAACGGTCGATGACTAGCGATAAACATCCTATGCGGGAACATGGTGAGTACGGACAAGTTGCTCCAACGGCCATCTATACTCCAATATGGGCTTCAATTACTGATAGGAAGAATACAGTTAACAAAACGAGCGACCCCAAAACAAAGTAACGAGTTCGAGTCTCTTGAGAACCTATTCGCCTCTGGAAAGCAGATTAGTTTCCATAAGGCATTCGCCTGGGATGATACACACGAGGTTCGTAAAGAGCTGATGAGCACGTCTGGCTTATGCAGCGTTCCAAGTAGAAACATTTAGAGACTTAGTTGGAACTCAATGGCGTTACGTAGATACGTTGTTGCAACAAGAAGAACTGACTGCAAGCTCCGGCGGCAACATTTCGGAAGACTTCGACTCGGCAAGATGAGCTCTTGTGCATGCGTGCGGCGTCCTTCGCGCTCGCCCACGAAGTCTCTTACGCGCCGGAGTCTGGCGACGGTATGTTTCCCGATGGAGAATGTTGATTCAATAGTCTTGTTTGTGAAATGAATCGAATATTCGGGGTGGGGAAGAAGAAGGAAGCTCCCCCAGCCCCCACAGGGCCGTCTCTGGCGGAGACTAGTGAACATTTAGACAGCCGAGTTGAACTGTTGGATAAGAAAATTAAACAGTGTGATGAGGAGCTGATCAAGTAGTAGCATCCACAACAACAGCAGCTAGGGCAGTACTAGGCTACAGGTACAAGCAGCAAATGGCCACTAGGTCTGGTGCGGCCGGGGCTAAACAACGGGCGTTGGCGGTACTGAAAAGGAAGAAGATGTATGAGGGTCAGAGGGACCAGATGATGAACACACAGTTCAATGTGGACCAGGTACTCGACAAGGGTTGCTCTATAAGTAACTCAATATCTCCTCTTTGTTCAGGCAGCCTTTACACAGGAACAAATTCAGACTAACATGAACGTGGTGGAGTCAATGAAGGTGGCCAATAGCGCTATGAAGTCCCAGATGAACGACTTCAACATCGACCATGTCGAGGATGTTGTTGACGATATGGCAGTAGGTGGACACCAAAAAAGCTTGCTAGGGACTGCGGTGGTATCGTTAGGATATAATGATGGACCAGGAGGAGATCAATGACATTTTGGGAAGAAGTTATAATATCCCCGAGGGATGCGATGATGCCTCTCTGGAAGCTGAGTTTTCTATGCTGGAAGAAGAGGTCGCCATGGATAAGGAGAATGAGCTTCGGGCGGTAGTGAGAGGGTCAGGGACTCGATCGTTAGCGAAGTTCTGTTGCCCTCTCAGGGACCATCAGCTCCGACCTATCTGCCAACTGCTTTGCCGGGAGGAGAGCAGCAGGCAACAACGACGGCCACCGCAGCTGCTGAGACTCCAGCAACTCATTTAGCACCGGTAATACGCTCTACTCGTCGAGACGCAGATTGCTCTTCAGGTTGCCCTCGCATCGACCAACAAGCCTCGATAGAATTACAATGCCGTCGTCTTGGACTTCTACTACCCCCGCTAGAGACTTGATAGACCCTAGTTCTAATTCTAACTGTATTGTTGATATCAATATTCAAAGTCCCTGTTCTATTTCACCATTTAATTTGAACGCAAATCGAGTCGGGTTGTAGTTGGCTTACATTCAATTCTTCTCAAAGTCTACCTTCTTCTTTTAGTTTTTCGTTTGCGGTACATTCGTTGAACATGGTAGGTTGCAGGACTGGATGGAGGTTGTCATCAGAAGCGCGAGTTTCCTTTTCAGTCGGGCAACATTATGGAGTACAATGGTGGCAGTGTGATAGCCATGAAGGGGGAAGGCTGTGTTGGAATTGTAATATCGGGGGGAATCAGCGTCACGCGCCTCGAAATTACTCACCCAGGCCTGCGACCGAAGATATGGCGTCAACCAGCTGCAGACGGTCTCAGCCAACATGCAGAAGGTGTATCCGATGACCTCTCGATGCTTGGTCGGCTTCCAAGGCCTCGCCACTGACTCCCAAACATTGTAACAGCGAGGTGATGGTCTCTCGAATAGTCCGGGGTGTTGTTGACTGTAGATCCCAATTGCTGAAATTCCGCCTGAAGTTGTACAAGTTGAAGGAGGATAGGGAGATGCCATGTGATGTTGTAAGTCACTTGATGGCTACTATGCTCTACGAGAAACGGTAGGTTATGCTACTGCCTTGCTGGCTGAGTATAACTGGTTCCTCTCAGGTTTGGGCCCTACTTCTGTGAACCTGTTATTGCTGGTCTTAAGAATGATGGCGAGCCTTTCATCTCCTCCTTTGATCTCATCGGTGGGTACAGGTTTCTCACTCTATGAACGTCACCGTCGCTTCCCTTCGATTCACCGCACACATCGATCGTCATTGCGCTTGGTCGATGATATCTCCCGCTCTAGAGTGATGTCTTATCAGGTACTGAATCCACAGCTCCCGATTTCATCGTCTCTGGTACGGCTACTGAACAGCTTATGGGTGTAGCTGAGAGTTTCTGGAGAGAAGGTATGGGCCCTGAGGAGCTCGCTGAGGTAGGCTTTAGGGTGGGTCGCGGTACGACGATATGGCTTGTCGTAGGTCCTCGGCCAATCGTTGCTATCGGGTATAGACCGTGACTGCCTTTCTGGTTGGGGCGGTATGGTGTATATACTCACCGATAAGGAGGTAGGTTCATAGATGCGAGCACTTCTCCACGTGACGATGTTGTTGTTGGTAGTTGATTACTAAAACACTGAAGGGCAGAATGGACTAATGGTTATATGGACAACAGCCTGGGTCCTTAACACTACACCGAACTAGAGTGATGAATAGTTTCCTAGACACTCTCCTGATTTTTGTTGGTATCCCGGCTGAGGCGCCCTCTAGGCAATCGCGAGTTTTGGGGAGGAGGTGACCAAGTTTGGATGTGGAACATACTGTAGTCCTCCCATATTGTCATCTCTCAATGACTGTCACTCCATCGACCACAGAGCCCGGCAAGAAGCGACCAGCTGAGGAGATCGCCCAAGAGGCAGAGGAGGAGGAGGATCTTCGCCGCTATGGTGATGCCAGCTATTGGGAGGGACGCTACAAGGCTAAGAAACAGAGACTGAATGAGGAGGGGGACAAGACTGGTAGTCGATCTGCGTCTAGGGTTGTGTGGAGGAGTTATTCTCAGAGAAGAAGGCGGCTACAGAGGGCGACGATGATGATGACGATGCCGATTCAACCGATGAGTGGCACTTCAGCTTTGAGGCCATGCGAGAACTGCTGCCTGAGAAAAAGGACATCACTGTTGTTGATGTTGGCTGCGGAGTAAGTTGCAGTGACTGCTGCATTCACCTTCCTCGGGCTTCGCTCCGCTCAGTAGTGCTCAAGATGCTTTTTGAGGTGATGCTCCACTGAGAAAGTATTGCTTCCTGTCAGGTTTCCTCCTTCCTCAACTCCATGCGTGAGGCGGGTTATACAGGTCGGCTCATCGGCCTCGATTACTCCCCTAGCGCCATTGATATGTGTAAAGAGATGTTCAAGGAGGTGGAGTATCATAATAAAGAGGCCGCGGAGATGTGCCCGGCGATCGTCAAGCCTGGTAGTATCTCGGAGCTATTTCAAGGGATACTTTTGGATTGTTGAAGTCGGGCATGTGAAGTGTCCATGATCAGGGGAGGTGGACATGTTCCTTGATAAGGCGACCATCGACGGTTTGCTTGCTGACGAGTCTGGCGCCGAGCACGTGCAGAAGCTGTGCAAGGCTGAGGGCCAGGCTATGAAGGTTGGAGGGCAGCTCAACTGGAGCACCATGTTTGGTCCTTTCGAGGAGTCTGGTGTTAAGGTAGGGATTGTTGCATACTCGGGGAAGTAGTTGCTGAGGCCTCGTCATAATAACAGGTTTTGAAGGATACTATACTGCCTGGTCTCCTTGCTGGCGACGACAAGGCTTCCTTCAAGATATACTGTTACGCACTTGACGATGGAACTGAGGAGATCGAACTACCTGATCTCGACAGGGAGGATGATGGAGAAGGAAAAGAGGAATCGGCTGAGGTTGCCGAGCCAGGGCATGCAGAAGAGCCCAAAACTGCTGAGGGTAAGAAGTGTCCTATTCCGCGTGAGGCAGGCGACTGTTGTGTATTAGGTGCCACTGTGACCTCTGACGAGAAGGAGGAGGTTGAGGTGGAAGAGGGTGACGAGATTGACATGGCAGATCTTGGCGATATCAACGAGATGATCATGCAGGCTTTGGCGGCTGAGAATGAGACTCTTGCTATTTGGGCCATTGAGAAAATCGAAAAGCCGGCTGATGCCCCCAAGGATACTGCTCAACTGATCGATAAGATTATTGAGGATATCGAAGTCGATGTGCAAGGCGGTGATGATGATGAGAAGGAGGAGGCTGAGGAGGAAGAGAAGGAGTGAACGCGACCGAACCCTTGGCTCTATTGACAGGCGTATTACGGTGATCACTGCGATGAGTGTTCACCATCTCTTATCACGTTTCTTTTCTATTAGTATGTAAAACTCATGTTGTTGTGTTATACGGTGTCATCTAGCGCTACACACTGTGTAGTACACAATTATCTTGCACCTCACTCAGGGACGAGGGAGTGTAGAGTATATGCTGGCATCTTCAAGGCGGCGCATTCAGTGTTGAGAGGCGATCGAGTTGAAATCGTCGACCCTAGAACTTCGGAGCAATGCTGTATTAAATCTCCACTTTGTGAAATGCAATTTCGGGATGAGGAATGCGAGTAATCCCTATACAACTCTGTGAGCGAGATCCGTGCCGGTTTACCTGGCGGGTTTGTGGCAAGGTTGTCCCAATCCATCCGTGTCAGTTTTTCTCGTGGTGTGTGTTGCCTTATTGCTCTGTCATAATGTCGACTCCTGTGGTATCGTCCGGTGGGAAGCCACTGAACGTGCTGATGATAGGTCTGGGTAAGCTTGGACTGCCGTTATGTCGCCGCATTGCCGCCGCAGGGTAGTCTGTGTCCGTCCTACTAGGTTGCAGTTAACGTCCACTTCGTCAGGCACGATGTTAATATTTTCTCAACTAGAGGGATGGATCGAGCTCTGAAATCTTCAGCTGACATCGGCCTCGGTGCCAAGCCAGTCCCCTCAATCCGCTCATGGTTGCAGGTGATGCTGTTACTACCACCAAGCCGTGCAGTAGTAATGTCGTTCGTCAGGCCAATCGCTCGGTATCATCTTTGTACATGGTCACCTGCGTCCCAACTTCTAACGAGGTGTCCCAGCTCGCTGATATTATTGTTGGTGATGCTACCATGCTCGAAGCTCCATTCGAAGAGGAGAATCGTGAGCTCTCATCGCTGACAGTGGTGAATTATTCTTCCTTAATTTCAGGGTCGAAGCTTCACTGGATCGACTGTACCAGTGGGTTCCCGCCCCTGACGAAGGCTATCGCGGAGAAGCTACGTGTCGCCTCAGCTGCAGATTCTGTTAGTCGCCGAGAAACTGTCTTTACCGACTGTGCAGTCAGTGGTGGCCCTCATGTGAGTTGCCTGCCCTTTGACGTAGTCATCCTTCTTTGCAGGGAGCCAAAGCTGGTGTATTGACATCTATGGTGGGATCGCAGAATCCTTCAGTGGTCGACGATCAAGAGTCGGGTAAGGTCAGCAATGGCATCCAGTGGGATGGGTCAGTACTTCAGGTGTACGTCAGTTGATAAGTTGCTGGTCCGGTGCTCCTGGTGGTCATGTATTCGGCCTTGGACCGGTTGGTAGTGGTCATGCTGTTAAGGTGAGTCGCTCGTCACTATGCTGCGAGTTAGACTGATTCTCTGCCAGTCTGTTAACAATGCCCTTCTTGCGGCTAATTTGCTGATGGGGTCCGAGGCAATGGTCACCCTAGCGAAGGCTGGAGTGGATGTTGAAGCGGCACTGAATGCTATCGATACTTCTAGCGGCCGCACATTTGTCCTACAGGGACGTTTCCAGAAGAATATTCTTACTCGTAGGTCCTCACGATCTTCGACGACCTCCTGTTTGGTTGTACTCTGTTATATCAGGCAAGTTCGACTATGGTTTTAATATGGCGGGTCTTCAGAAGGATGTAGCCAACGCGCTTCAACTCATGGAGGTAGGCGGATCGGCTCTATCTTCATCCGTCACCGAATGCTTACATTAGGGTGAGGGTATCTATAACCCTATGTCGGAGTTAGCTCTCAAGCTCGTCAATGATGCTTTGGGCAAGTTGGGACCAGAGGCTGATCATACCGAGATCGTGAGGACTAGATAAACATGGTTGATTTGTAAAGTTTTGCTGTTCAGGTGAAAGTCGTTGAAGACGAGAGCAAAGCGCCTGGCTGTGTCAAGGCTCGGAAGGAGGATTGACTTCACTTAGCCAGCTGGACTGTCCAAACTTTTCTTGGTCGTTATTTCCACATCGTCTGAATAGTACTGTGTGCGTCTTCCATGGTGTCGCGTTCAGTGGGATGGCCGCTTAACTCCTGAAGACCATGATCTGTCGCCTCGGCGATTTTCAGTGGTTTTCGAGGCATAGCACCGTCTTCAAGGTATCTCAAGGTGCTCATCAACACTGCTATTGAAACTGCTATTTGAATAAATATTTTTTAAAAACTCAGCAGTGAATTTCGAACTGCATCCTAGCAAAATTGGAAAAATGCAGTCGAAATTTCGATACACCAGGACGAAGGCCTTTCTGTTCTTGAGTAGGTGTCCACTTCTCAATAACCTGTTTCCGAGCTGATAAGGGATTGTGACGTACATTTCTTGAAAGTGGGTGTAGGAGTTTCACTGGCGGGCGGGATAATAAGCGGCATCCTTGGCAATGGAAGGTGGTTGAATAGAATATACGAGGAATTGAACTTTGGACCATTCATAGAGAGCCGCAACACCATTTCAATGAAATGATTTCATCCTGGAGAAATGTTTAATCTTGCTAAGCCAGGTTCTTCCGAGTATGTACTATCTCTATCCCGAGTGATGATGATTACGTACAGAAGTGAATATGTATGGAGATTACTACAGATATGTATAGGTGTAGCGCGATGAGTAGTGCAGGGTGCATTCCGATCTTCGTGTGACGCTGTCGCAGTATTGTAGGCTTTATTCAATTTTGTTGTTTAGTTCGTATGACAATTCAGGAGGGAAGGGGCTGCTGAGGTGGATGTTGCTCGTTTACAGGCCATAATCTACTGTTTCATGGGTTGTAGACAAGGCACCCTCACCATCGAACCTGTCCCCACAGTGCCTCCGGAAGAGGCAGTCAGTGAGGAACGGTCTCCTGTGGAAAGTGGGCTGAAGGGGAATATTAACAGGAAGGAGTCGGGGACGACTAAGGAGGCCTCCAGTACCGGTTTATCGAGGACCGACTCGGGGGTCTCTCGGCATCAAGTGACCGCTCCTACAGCGGAGCCTACAAAAATCGCAGCTGAATTGAAGCCACTCCCGTCGGTTGAAGAAACTCAAAGATCCGAGTTTCCGGGGCTTCTAGAAAGTGGCGAGAATCTGGCCATTGCTCCGCAGAAGAAAAAGTCCCCTGGCAATTGTACCACATCTGTATCATCAGCCAGCTTCGAGTCGGTTTACTCCGATGGCGATGAATCAGTCTCTTCGGATGAGAAGAGGCTCCGTTGTATAAGCACCGATAAGCTGGTGAGAGAGCTGTCGAAGCGGATGATGGGTGCGGAGGAGGAGGCCGCTAGAAAGGCCACCGACCCTATAGCGCAGGTCCAAAGGCTGAGGACCTTCTACGGCTTCCGTGAGAGAGTTAGCACGTCCACGGATCTAACGCATCATCCCAACGATCTCTGGTGGAGCGAAGCTCATAACGACTCCGCGAAGATCACCAATGACTTAGGTCGCTCTCCAAAGTTGTTGTCTAACGTTATCAAGGTCAGAGTAGTTCGACGACCGAACGAAGAAATCGATTCTGATATGTCCTATTTCTCTGATTACGTATCCATGGGTATGGCAAACCCTGATAAGAGATACATTGTCTTCAAGTTGGGTTTGGGTGATCATATTGTGGTCACGCTTTCGGAGGTCTTCGATGACGACACTTATGAGAGCCTTTTTGAGGAATTTACTCCTGCCCAAATGCTCATGGAGCGTATGAAGTTCATCACTTGTCCGGCTAATTTGGGTGTACCAGTACCTCTGTTGGGTCCCAAAGCAGCTCAGACTCTAGGAGCCTATTTCGGCATGAGTAACGTATCTTGTCAGTACTGCTCAACTCCTTTACCGGGCGGAGATGCATTGCGCTTCGTTTCTGTGTATATTGACATTTACAGTAAGTGGATTTTGCGGAGAACCATTCCCTCGCTAGCCTTCACGGTTGGTAGGATAAGCGACTTTTACTTGGTGGATTACGAGAAGGCTCTCATATACTCGAGCTTTCGACTAGTCTGTACACAGGAAGCAATCGCTCTTCTGAAAAAGTGATGATGATGGTTGAGCCGATGGCGCCGTCGTATCGTATCATGTGTAATATGATAATAACTTTCTTTATCGTGGCATGTGCAATAGTTGTAGCAGTGCGCCTCTTTGCTCGATTACTCGCTTACCATTCATCTGTGAGATTAACCATCTACACGGTGGATGTCACCAAATTGATCTCTTTCTGCTACTACAACCCGTTGGGCAGTGCCCGACTTCCGTTTTCACTAAGTCGCCACGTTTTCAATACCACTTACGCTCACGTTTTTCGTCACTTGCCAGTTGACTCGAGTCCAGTCGAAATCGATACTCCACTCAGGTTTACTGGGTTCACTAGGTCGATTTTCATGTTCCGTGACCAACAGCGAGAAGGTAAAAGTCGGCAACACGGCATCAGTAGATGAGCTCAGGTAAATGCGTCAGGTCTAAGGTGGTGGTGGTGGTGGTAACGGGATGGTGCAAGGATAGCTCGCTGAGTATAGTACTCGACATTGGATTTGAGTCGCCTGATGACGGTTTCATGTGCTCGACAGAAGAGAATTTACTTTAGCCATTGCGATACTCAGACTTTGATATTCTGTCGATTCCTTACTGAGAGCGCAAACGAGTCTGATTCCATATCCAAAATCATGCATCTGACACATGATTTTGGTCGGTTCTACATCTGCATCAACCGGCATGCAAGATCACGATATTTGGTCCTCATTTTACGCAAATGTGATTCAGCTCGGCATCTCCTTGGATAACGAGTCAGAGCTCGGAGATGGTCGCTACAGGAACGAGCGACAATCAGCAAGATCGTGAGTTCGACCCTGGGAGAGACTCCCTTTCGCGCGTGATTTGTTTTAGTAGCGATATGTAGAATATTGCATGTTTCTCGAAAAGAATTAGATGATACTACTGCTATACTATGGAAGCGTTATACTTCAAGGATGAGAAACTGCCATCAGAGCCAGAGAAATCGTCGAAAATGTATCGATGTTGTGAGACATCAATACTATCAGATTGCTAATCTCAAGTACAACGGATGTGTTTGGATAGTATAAAGGGCGAGGTTTTTCTGACTCAAGCTTATGCAACAGCATCACCTCCGTCACGGAGGTTCATGAGTCTGATTACGGTTTGATGACGCAGTGATTTGCCTCAGTGCATGATCTGAATCAAGGAAATTACTCAGCAGTCAGAGTAAATATTCAAAAATCATGTAAAGTACTCAAGTAACAAAATTATAGCTTAAGCATTCGAGTAGTTATTCAGCATCAGTGATTTAGAATATCACGGATCACGTATTACGTAATCACACGTCATACTATCACTAATTCAGGAAACCGATACAGTTGGTTTATCCCATGAACGCACTCCTCTTTTTCTTCGTTCATTCCATCATCGGCACGGTAGTGGCTCAGAGAGCGTCGAGGAGGACCTGCAGTCAGACAAGTTTCTGTCGGCGCTATCGTGACTGGATAAGCCTATCCGAAGAATTGAGGACTACTTACTATGTATGGCAATATTTTGCAGCTTTTACTCATCAGTCTCACTTCAGATCCCTCCGGGTCCTCTAAGCAGCAGCTCAAAGGGCACATTCAATGCTACCGTTAAAATCAGCGCACTCGGTGACCAAGGACCCGATGCTTTCCAATTGCAGGTTGGTTCACATACCTGCAGTCACAGTCCTCAGTAATCCTCTGGCAGTTACGCTTCTATGTGGACGGGACTGTCCGGTTCACAATGGATGAAAACCACGCTTACATTGGCTGCGTTAGAAACAGGCAAGGATGCGCCGAACGACGTCGACTTGACTGATTCACTCCGGCTAGCGATCTGCTCAGTTTCCCAAGTAGGTACGTTATTCCTTCCGGGGATGTTATTCAAGACGACAGCATGGCGCTCGCCGGAGACATCAAGTACACCTACAACCCGAAGGTGGGCATTCGGGCACTCCATATAGCCACCTGAGTTCGAGTGACTTGGCGCGCAGGAGAAGTCGTCCACCTTCCAAGTCGGAAAGTCGCTCACTGTGGTATTGATGCACGAGGACGTGGTGAGTTGATCAGCTTCCCTCACAGTCAAACCTGCTCATTCGAGGTATTGACAATTGCTGTCGACGGTCACGTTGTACAGACAGTCAATAGCAAGAAGCACTTGGTGATCGAGGGCACCCGGACCGCATACAACGACAAATGGTAAGCCTGCCGCTGTGGAGAGTCTCTTGGATGTCTGTTCTGTGTAGTCCCTACAACTTGTCGGCTAGTGAAGACGTGAAGTACATCGATCCGGCTTGCTCTCCCGGAACGCATGACGGCAGCTGGGCGGAGGAATACGGGGGGAAGATTGATTACAAACCATATGGTGGGCAGCTTCCCCGAAATTACTCCTAAGTCTTCCCTCTCGTGTTCAATCCGTCATAGCTTCCCTTCACGACTATCACTCAGCAAGCTCCACTATTATCAGGTCCGTCGTTGGTGGGTATCGACATTTCGTTCTCGGATGTTGAGGCTGTCTACGGCCTACAGGAGCGCGGCACTACTTCCTCTAAGCTAGAGTCAGGCGGAACAAGCGATCTGGGTCTGTACAGGTAGGGCAGGTCAGGGTGAGGTTATCCACTCCCACTTCAAGAAAGGTTCTTCAACTTGGACTTTGGGGCGTATCCAGTCGATGGGGACAGAAACCATGGAGCGATATATGGATCTATCCCGACACTCACCGCTGTGCAGGTATAGAGAGCTGCGGGTGCTCCGGACTGTCGTTTCCCATCGTAAGCTTTCAGAAGAATAGAAGCAACACACCCTTCGTCTCATCTCTGCTGTGGGTTAATCCATCAGACACTGCAGTGGCCTTGAGTGGATGTAACGAAGGCCGCATAGTGGCCGCCGTTTTGACGTCCAGTTGTGATCTACTCAGGTTGTGGAGATTTGTCAACTATTTTCGTCTCCGAGTCCGGTGTTATCGATCTATTCCTCTTCCCTGGCATGAAGCCTCAAGAAGTACTCTGAGTTCTGAAGTTCATCGATCACCATCCACACCTTTATTATCATCCTTCGTTCAGTTCTCGACTGCATATCATCATACGACCGGGTTGCCCGCCCTCCCACCACTCTTCGGTTTAGGATTCCATCGCAGTCGGTATGCTATAGAGGTGAGGTCATCATTTCATACTCTAAGGGCATGATCTCTTCGTCCGTGTTGCAGAGCCAGCAGTATACTGAAGAACTAGCGGCCAACTACACTCGGTTAGGATTCCCGGTTGACGTTTTTTGGCTGGGAATCGAACACACTAAAGGGAAGATGTGCCGTCGACCCTGAAGCATCGGGGATAGGCTTGAAGTCTTTCTCTCAGGTACTTCACATGGAATGAAACGCTCTTCCCGGATCCAAAGAAGATGTCGGAAGATTTACGAGCCCAAGGAAAAGAGATGGTAACCATCACGGACCCTCATATAAAGGTCTCGAAAGAGTAAGTATACATGATCCATCGTCTCCTGGCTTTACCTGCCCACGACAGTTACCTCGTTTTTACTTCTGGTGTTGAGGAGGATGTATTCGTGAAGGAGATCGATCGCGGGCAACGTAAGGATGGAGAGATGTCCAGCCTTAGAGGTCTGTTCGTTCTTCCTCAGGTAAGCCCAGGGAGAAGATTTTCGAAGCGCAGGCCTCACCTGGGCTGAGCGCATGGCCGGACTTTACGAGCGCTAGAGTTCGAGATTGGTGGGGAAGGTGACGATGCGACATATGGATTACTCGAGTATGGAGATATGTATCCTATGCAGGTTTTTCAGCCCGAACGGCCAGAACGACGACTTCTATGGGTGGAATGACTTGAACGAGCCCAGTGTTCGTGATGTACCCGAGGTAGAGTGACACGCGGCAGTAGCAGTAGCAGTTGGTTTCTCCTCAGAAAACGATGTACCGGGATCTAATCCACTCTGAGGGGACTGAGCATAGGGATGTTCATAACTTGTACGCACCTTCATTCGGAGAATCACACGTTTGATGATGAGTATGATGGGTCGTAGATACGGTCATTATTTCCGCTGGGCATCTTTCGAAGGTCAGCGTCTTCATCGCTTTCCAGGCAAACGTCCATTTGTGCTCACGCGTAGCGTTTTTGCTGGGAGCCACAGGTGTGACGGGCAAGTTGACGGTGAATTCTTCGGTGTAGTTTTCACACTACAGCTCATGTATTCGATTAGCTCAGGTTCGGCCCCATGTATACCGGGGATAATGTTGCTCAATGGAATAACCTCCAAGCTGTGATACCCATGACAACGGCCTTGGCCGCTACTGGAGGGTATCCGCTGCATCGTCATCAGCCTATACCTGATCATGCTCAGGTTCTCATTCACGGGCTCGGACATCGGTGGCTTCTCCGGACATCCGGATGCCGAACTCTACACCAGATGGTCCCAGCTCGGCGCGGCCACCAGTGCTTTCTTCAGGTCAGGACTTTATCAGTACGCTTGCTCACTCCCCGTTTCGTCAGGTTACATTCGGACATTCATTCCCCCCAGAGAGATCCCTGGTTGTACGATCAACATACACTCAATCGCCTTAAAAATGCAACGCTGGAAAGGTAGGGTGTAGCATCGAAATTCTCTGAAATCAGATATTTTAGGCGACTCGTCCGACTCGGGCGAGAGACCTCGGAGTTAGCGATATCTTGCTTTTCAGATATAGGCTTTTGCCGTACTGGTATCACGCCTTTGCTCGATATGTCTATTATGGTGAGCCTGTTATCCGTCCGCTTTGGTACGTCTACATCGACGACCCAAACACGTATAAGTGTAGCACTACTGGATGTGATTCCATCATCGACCAACAGGTAACCAGATTCTGATTGATACTCATTTTACAGCACCTCCCCAGGTGCTAATTGGCGCTGATATTATGGTGCGCGGGGTAGTAGAGAAAAGCGTGAAAAAGGTGAAAGTTTATTTCCCTCGACACACTCAGTGGTACAGCACTGCTGGGAAGGTAAGGGAATAAGCTTCGCCGAACCGGCCTCTTCCTCCCATCAGCTCATGACAAGCGGATGGCAAGATGTTGATGTGACCATGGATGATATTCCGCGTTACTTCCGCGCTGGCAGCATCATACCGTAAAACTGTCATACTTGCACGAAGGCTAATGTGAAGTGTCTGATCAGGCGAAAAGATACTTACCGCAGCTCGAGTAGGTTAATGATTGAGGACTATTACTCTATCTATGTCTACCCGCGTCCTTCGGACTACTCTGCTGAGGGCTACGCGTATGCTCCATCTTCAGAGTATGACCTCGGTATAGTGGCCTTGTTAGGTATACAGATGATACCGTGAGCTATGACAGCACTGACGACGACAAGCATAACTTCTGGAAACTAACGTACGTAGTCGCTCCTGATGTATGGTCCGGCTGACCATGATGACGTTTCTGCTTACTGAAGCTCCTCACCTTTTATAGTCTCCGGGGAGCCCGTCGGGCATTCTCGCCATCGGTTATTTAGATTTAAAGACCGCGAACTGAAAGTATCCCCTGGCGGAGGAAGCGGTCACTTCGACTTTTGCATCTACAAAATTATCATTATAGGACAAAATCAAGGTGAGCATCATCATAAGTGAGCAGGCCAACATGTTCGAGCCTAGTGTTTGGGACTGAGTCACTTCTGTTTCGTCAGCCGGAAGATTTGATGACGTCACTAGATTGACGTGGGACGTCGGGCATGAAGGAGGAGAAACAATAATGAAGATTCCTCCGGAGCTTCGCTGCGTGCCCTCTTGCACAGCCCGAGTCTTCAATATCACCCAGTGAGGAATCTATCGACCGGCGGCTTAGTCCACCTCGATCCTCGGATTTTTATCGCTTTTTCGGAGGGAGTCTAAATATTTATGGTTGATGATTTTTTGATACGAGTCCATGACACTCGAGACCTCGCAATCTCCACACAAGATCTGTTCCTCGAGAGTTTTTGACATCGTGGTTGTTTGAGTTAATATTAAGTTTGTGTCATACGTTTTCGTTCGCTTAATCATCTGCAGTGGACCTAGCGAGCACCATATGCACACAGCACGAGTGCGAGCACAAGAAACGCTAGGTTGACAACATTTATTCACGATTCTAGGGTGGCACAGGGTGGCAAACGGAAGGAAAAATTGAAAAATTTCCTTACGAAGGAAATTTGAAATTTGATATTTTTCATAGTTCCGATTAACCATCACCATTCCAGATTCCAAATTGGTTTAGTCTGGAAATTTCCTCCAGGAGTGTACCGTCCCAATAGGAACAGCGCTACTTGTATTCTCACTTGCCTGTTTTCTCGATACCTAATATCGCCTTCCATACAGTGCGATTTTATGGTTTTATGCGAGTCGAAACGATTGCTAGATTTTTTTGGTTAGTTTTTTATTTGAATTAAACTAGGAAGAGCTTTGGATCTAAGGATTCAATTAGAACATTCGAGTGAGCAAGTGATTTGTAGCGCTCTCTAATCGCTCTATATACTCTGTCTCCGAGCTCGTCCAACTACTCGCTCGTATACACTCTCTTTCAGTTTGCACTCTTATCGCTTAAACTTACAGAAGCTGAACGGGGTGCTACTTAGGGCTGGAACAAAATTATCTACTCGTGATCGCCCTATGTTATCTCATAAGTCCATAGCTTCGACCCCGCCTTCAGCGCCGTCTTACGACGCGACTGCACCGCTTGGAACCACATCTACGTCGAGTCCATCACTAGTTTCTTCTAGTTCTCTGCTAACTTACGAGTATCATCTTGCGGGTCAGGGAGGTATGTACCTATGCTTTACCTGATATGACCTCCAAGTTTCAGGACCTAGCTCTTCGTAGCTAGTGAGTAGTCGAAGACCGGTAAAAAGTTTTCTCCACATATTATTGGCATACACGTGTTGAAATTGCGCCTCAAAATACCAACTTTTACTGGGGGAGTATATCCATAACTCCGCTCCTGATCTAATGCTATACATCAACAGAAAAAGGATCGTTCATAATGGTATCTCTCCATGTTTCACTCTCATTTTTGGAGGCACGAGCCTGCGAGAGCGTCGTGACCTCCGACGGCTCCCTGCATGGCGGATTTTACACCTTATTTCGGCGCGCTTTCGTGCTCATCAGCTGTCCTACTCAGTTTTGGCTGGACACTCGTTGTGGTGGCTGTGCACGAGTCGAAAAACCGGATATGCTAAGAATGTGTGTGGAGGGGTGTATGTAGGTGCCATAACTGCCCCACCCACGACTTTACAACTTAGAGTTCAGAAGGCCTTTGAAAAGACTAACCTAGTTCACATTCTTTCTCACAAGTTTCAGAGACATTAAGATCACGTGGCTCTAAAACCACGATTCATTTCAACTCTTCAGTAGGATTCACAAGAAACCCCATCATGGGCTTCGTACGCGAAGTCTATGAATGCCTTCAATTTCTCATCTGGAGATGCTTTGGCTGCCATCCTGGCTTTGCGATCTCACAATCTGTTGATCTACCGAGTAAATTCCACTCAGCTAACGTCATGAGGAAACACCTCTATACGTGTAAACCCCCACTGATGCTTCCCGCACGTCTTATAGATGGTTGCCAGCCATCTAACGATGGCCTTACTCGATTCATTCTCCATCAGACTCAGACTTATAGCTACCAAGATTCTACAACCTGGCAGGAGATATCAGATTGCAGGAAACAGCGAAACGAGGAGGCCAGAGCGTCAATCATGGATTGGCGACCAGTTAGCGCAAGTGCGAAGTCGAACTTCACTTTGATATCAAGTTGATATTATCAACGTAGACAACGCTCAATAGTGCATCGTGTTAGTCTTATGCCGCCGCGGACTGAACTCATCGTCGTCAAGGTCTCAGTGAAGCTCTAACTTGAGTAGTGGAGTAATGTTAGAGGCATCCTCGTCTATCGTGCTATCCCTGATTGACGTATCGAACTCAGACATGATAAGGCTTATGAAATAGTCTCGTGAGAAGAGGAGAGACTGGAACCCACAACCGGGGAGACGCCCCCCCGCTCCCCTCGCCGCGTCACGTCACCATAACGTGCCGTCACAATTGCAGCACACGATGCACGAACGTTAGCTGTCCGCGCACGCCCACTGCACGTGCGCCAGCTACAAGTAATCAGATTCATGTAATGATAGGGTAGACTGACTGAAGAGCGATATACTCTATCTGATAGGGAGTAGGGTCTTGCACGGGCTAGAGTGGATAGCCCACGAACGAACCTCCTTAACTGCCCTGATCATCGATATGCGCTGAAAAGGTTGGAGATAATAATACTCCGAAAGAAATTGAGACGAGCAATGACGGAAATATCGAGAAGAATCCTAGCCGTCAATGGGAGGGACACAATATGTCGATACATCACACTAACGGATGCTCAGGTGGCTCAAGCCCTCTCCGCACTCGTTGACCTCCTCTTGCACCTCGCTGGTAGGCTCAGCTTTTCTCGAAAAACGAACAGCGCGGAACGCCAGCGCAGCTAGCAAGGACCCAATGATTTGGGCTACGATGTACACACCGACGCTTTGGATCTCTTCCTGAGGAAAATAAACACTCACTTCTACTTCACGGACTCAGAGTAAACAATATATCGAATCGCTTGCCAATCATCTTAGCGAATGAATCAGATTTTCCTCCGAGGATCAGCACTCACTTGGCTGAAGACGAAGACTCCAAGGGTGACAGCTGGATTCAGGTAAGCCCCCGAAATCGGACCGATTGCGTATGCAGCAGAAATCACTGTAAAGCCGATTGCCACACCGTAATAATGGTTTCCAGCATCTCTGGAGGTCGCAACATTAAGAACCTGAGGAGCTACTATCACGGGGTCTTTGGAATAACCCTCCCTATCTTACAACGAAAGCGAGAGCCATGGTGAATATCATTTCTGGCAAGGCGGCCAGGAAGACCGAGAACTGGTCACCCGGTTTGACCGTTATCTCATCACCAGTCAAAGCGAAAGAGATGCCCGCGCCGGCGATGCCACCAAGAACCTACCAGCCGTATGTAGGATGGAAGAAGCTTTATGGAAGCTTGATCACCTGGACGATCATATAAATAGGAGCATCGGTGAGTGTGAACTTGGAAGGATTGCCCAGGACAATACCAAGGGTTACCGATGGATTGAAGTGCGCACCAGACACACTGAACAGCAGCTGATCGGGGGTACAGGGCCATTAGCTCACCTTCCCATGGAGAATATCATAACCATCAGAATCGAACCAATCGACAGGGGGGCGTTAGGGTTCTGCATGCTCACATTCAGCCCCACAGTGAAGACCAAGAAGAAGGTTCCAATAAACTCGGCTATGTATGCTGGGAATGTGTGCAGAACCGTCTGAGAGACAATAACAAGGTCCTCAAGATGGTCGCCAATCATAATCGACTCTAACCTAAAACGTGCTAAACCGAGCACTGTACCCATGAGAGAATCCTGATCGTGGAGGTACCAATATGTACTTACTGTTTTTCTGTTCAACCAGATAGCTTTCATACTCACTCAAGGATCGAATCTCAAATGCTGAGGCGGGGCAACTCACGGGAGGTGCAAGAGCACTACAACTGAAGACAGAGCAGTATGCTTGGAAAGGGGATACCTAGTGGCATGCCTTAGCTACTTCAAATCACAGAGGAATAAGAGTCGCAGGGACATATAGGGCATACTGCAGGTGATAGTAGACAGCGCATCTTGGACAAACAATACTAAGTATACCGTTCTCAGTTCTTAGCAACATCATGCTATATAACTAATATACAACAAAGCACGCATACATCCTGGGCTTGCAGTCCTCAGATCTGCTTCTCAACCATGATGCAATCTATCGACCGTTGGCGGGATACACGTGTACACAACTCGTGAACACAGCTCTCATGTAACACGACAACTCAACTTTCATTGAAAGGTGACAAAGGCTAGTGTGTGTTTGGAACACTGAAATAGCATCTCTTAATGACGAACTAATAACTCTGATGTAATAACTCTATGAAACCAACAATCCTGACTCATTGGGATCTGATTCCTTAACGATAGGCTTTGCACTCAGTGAGTGCCTCGAGGCGTCGTATACCTCTCAGACCACGTGAATCACGTGACACGTGATTCACGTAAGTACATATTGTTGTCCGCCTGTGCGGCCCTGCCTGTGCGGAATAGACAGTATAAGGCGGGCGGGAGCGCCTTATCCGTAGCTAAGGTGTGCATGCGTCAAACGGTCGATTGCTGTTACTTGGTCGAGACTCATAGTAGATAACACAAGTTGGAAGGAGTTGAAAAAATCTCTTTAGTCTTAATCTATTCGGGGGAATAGGTGATTAGCTATGCACACACGTGCAATCGCGCACAATGGGTAGAAGCTTGCCAGTTGTCTCGAGTCCAGTCGAAATCGATACTCGACTCAGGTTTACTGGGTTCACTAGGTCGATTTTCATGTTCCGTGACTAACAGATGAGGGTGAAGGTCGGCAACACGGCATCAGTAGATGAGCTCAGGTAAATGCGTCAGGTCTAAGGTGGTGGTGGTGACGGCATGGTGCAAGGATAGTTCGCTGAGTATAGTACTCGACATTGGATTTGAGTCGCCTGATGACGGTTTCATGTGCTCGACAGAAGAGACTTTACTTTAGCCATTGCGATACTCAGACTTTGATTTTCTGTCGATTCCTTACTCACAGCAAAAGCGAGTCTGACTCCATATCCAAAATCATGCATCTGACACATGATTTTGGTCGGTTCTACATCTGCATCAACCGGCATGCAAGATCACGATATTCGGTCCTCATTTTACGCAAATGTGATTCAGCTCGGCATCTCCTTGGATAACGAGTCAGAGCTCGGAGATGGTCGCTACAGGAACGAGCGACAATCAGCAAGATCGTGAGTTCAATCCTGGGAGAGACTTCAATTCGCGCGTTATTTGTTTTAGTAGAGATATGTAGAATATTGCATGTTTCTCGAAAAGAATTAGATGATACTACTGCTATACTATGGAAGCGTTATACTTCAAGGATGAGAAACTGCCATCAGAGCCAGAGAAATCGTCGAAAATGTATCGATGTTGTGAGACATCAATACTATCAGATTGCTAATCTCAAGTACAATGGATGTGTTTGGATAGTATAAAGGGCGAGGTTTTTCTGACTCAAGCTTATGCAACCGCATCACCTCCGTCACGGAGGTTCATGAGTCTGATTACGGTTTGATGACGCAGTGATTTGCCTCAGTGCATGATCTGAATCAAGGAAATTACTCAGCAGTCAGAGTAAATATTCAAAAATCATGTAAAGTACTCAAGTAACAAAATTATAGCTTAAGCATTCGAGTAGTTATTCAGCATCAGTGATTTAGAATATCACGGATCACGTATTACGTAATCACACGTCATACTATCACTACTCCAGGAAACCGATGCAGTTGGTTTGTCCTATGAACGCACTCCTTTTTTTCTTCATTCATCCCATCATCGGCACGGTAGTGGCTCAGGGAGCGTCGAGGAGGACCTGCAGTCAGACAAGTTTCTGCCGGCGCTATCGGGACTGGATAAGCCTATCCGAAGAATTGAGGACTACTTACTATGTATGGCAATATTTTGCAGCTTTTACTCATCAGTCTCACTTCAGATCCCTCCGGGTCCTCTAAGCAGCAGCTCAAAGGGCACATTCAATGCTACCGTTAAAATCAGCGCACTCGGTGACCAAGGACCCGATGCTTTCCAATTGCAGGTTGGTTCACATACCTGCAGTCACAGTCCTCAGTAATCCTCTGGCAGTTACGCTTCTATGTGGACGGGACTGTCCGGTTCACAATGGATGAAAACCACGCTTACACTGGCTGCGTTAGAAACAGGCAAGGATGCGCCGAACGACGTCGACTTGACTGATTCACTCCGGCTAGCGATCTGCTCAGTTTCCCAAGTAGGTACGTTATTCCTTCCGGGGATGTTATTCAAGACGACAGCATGGCGCTCGCCGGAGACATCAAGTACACCTACAACCCGAAGGTGGGCATTCGGGCACTCCATATAGCCACCTGAGTTCGAGTGACTTGGCGCGCAGGAGAAGTCGTCCACCTTCCAAGTCGGAAAGTCGCTCACTGTGGTATTGATGCACGAGGACGTGGTGAGTTGATCAGCTTCCCTCACAGTCAAACCTGCTCATTCGAGGTATTGACAATTGCTGTCGACGGTCACGTTGTACAGACAGTCAATAGCAAGAAGCACTTGGTGATCGAGGGCACCCGGACCGCATACAACGACAAATGGTAAGCCTGCCCCTGTGGAGACTTTCTTGGATGTCTGTTCTGTTGAGTCCCTACAACTTACCGGCTAGTGAGGACGTGAAGTACATCGATCCAGCTTGCTCTCCCGGAACGCATGACGGCAGCTGGGCGGAGGAATACGGGGGGAGGACCGATTACAAACCATATGGTGGGCAGCTTCCCCGAAATTACTCCTAAGTCTTCCCGACTATCACTCAGCAAGTTCCACTATTATCAGGTCCGTCGTTGGTGGGTATCGACATTTCGTTCTCGGATGTTGAGGCTGTCTACGGCCTACAGGAGCGCGGCACTACTTCCTCTAAGCTAGAGTCAGGCGGAACAAGCGATCTGGGTCTGTACAGGTAGGGCAGGTCAGGGTGAGGTTATCCACTCCCACTTCAAGAAAGGTTCTTCAACTTGGACTTTGGGGCGTATCCAGTCGATGGGGACAGAAACCATGGAGCGATATATGGATCTATCCCGACACTCACCGCTGTGCAGGTATAGAGAGCTGCGGGTGCTCCGGACTGTCGTTTCCCATCGTAAGCTTTCAGAAGAATAGAAGCAACACACCCTTCGTCTCATCTCTGCTGTGGGTTAATCCATCAGACACTGCAGTGGCCTTGAATGGATGTAACGAAGGCCGCATAGTGGCCGCCGTTTTGACGTCCAGTTGTGATCTACTCAGGTTGCGGAGATTTGTCAACTACTTTCCTCTCCGAGTCCGGTGTTATCGATCTATTCCTCTTCCCTGGCATGAAGCCTCAAGAAGTACTCTGAGTTCTGAAGTTCATCGATCACCATCCACACCTTTATTATCGTCCTTCGTTCAGTTCTCGACTGCATATCATCATACGACCGGGTTGCCCGCCCTCCCACCACTCTTCGGTTTAGGATTCCATCGCAGTCGGTATGCTATAGAGGTGAGGTCATCATTTCATACTCTAAGGGCATGATCTCTTCGTCCGTGTTGCAGAGCCAGCAGTATACTGAAGAACTAGCGGCCAACTACACTCGGTTAGGATTCCCGGTTGACGTTTTTTGGCTGGGAATCGAACACACTAAAGGGAAGATGTGCCGTCGACCCTGCAGCATCGGGGATAGGCTTGAAGTCTTTCTCTCAGGTACTTCACATGGAATGAAACGCTCTTCCCGGATCCAAAGAAGATGTCGGAAGATTTACGAGCCCAAGGAAAAGAGATGGTAACCATCACGGACCCTCATATAAAGGTCTCGAAAGAGTAAGTATACGTGATCCATCGTCTCCTGGCTTTACCTGTCAACGACAGTTACCTCGTCTTTACTTCTGGTGTTGAGGAGGATGTATTCGTGAAGGAGATCGATCGCGGGCAACGTAAGGTTGGAGAGGCGTCCAGTCTTAGAAGTTTGTTCGTTCTTCCTCAGGTAAGCCCAGGAAGAAGATTTTCGAAGCGCAGGCCTCACCTGGGTTGAGCGCATGGCCGGACTTTACCAGCGCTAGAGTTCGAGCTTGGTGGGGAAGGTGACGATGCGACATATGGATTACTCGAGTATGGATATATGTATCCTACGCAGGTTTTTCAGCCCGAACGGCCAGAACGACGACTTCTATGGGTGGAATGACTTGAACGAGCCCAGTGTTCGTGATGTACCCGAGGTAGATTGACACGCGGCAGTCGCTGTAGCAGTTGCTTTCTCTTCAGAAAACGATGTATCGGGATCTAATCCACTCTGAGGGGACTGAGCATAGGGATGTTCATAACTTGTACGCACCTTCATTCGGAGAATCACACGTTTGATGATGAGTATGATGGGTCGTAGATACGGTCATTATTTCCGCTGGGCATCTTTCGAAGGTCAGCGTCTTCATCGCTTCCCAGGCAAACGTCCATTTGTGCTCACGCGTAGCGTTTTTGCTGGGAGCCACAGGTGTGACGGGCAAGTTGACGGTGAATTCTTCGGTGTAGTTTTGACACTACAGCTCATGTATTCGATTAGCCCAGGTTCGGTCCCATGTATACCGGGGATAATGTTGCTCAATGGAATAACCTCCAAGCTGTGATACCCATGACAACGGCCTTGGCCGCTACTGGAGGGTATCCGATGCATCGTCATCAGCCTATACCTGATCATGCTCAGGTTCTCATTCACGGGCTCGGACATCGGTGGCTTCTCCGGACATCCGGATGCCGAACTCTACACCAGATGGTTCCAGCTCAGCGCGGCCACCAGTGCTTTCTTCAGGTCAGGACTTTATCAGAACGCTTGCTCACTCCCCGTTTCGTCAGGTTACATTCGGACATTCATTCCCCCCAGAGAGATCCCTGGTTGTACGATCAAGATACACTCAATCGCCTTAAAAATGCAACGCTGGAAAGGTAGGGTTTAGCATCGAAATTCTCTGAAATCAGATATTTTAGGCGACTCGTCCGACTCGGGCGAGAGGCCTCGGAGTTCGCGATATCTTCCTTTTCAGATATAGGCTTCTGCCATACTGGTATCACGCCTTTGCTCGATATGTCTATTATGGTGAGCCTGTTATCCGTCCGCTTTGGTACGTCTACATCGACGACCCAAACACGTATAAGTGTAGCACTACTGGATGTGATTCCATCATCGACCAACAGGTAACCAGATTCTGGTTGATAGTCATTTTACAGCACCGCCCCAGGTGCTAATTGGCGCTGATATTATGGTGCGCGGAGTGGTAGAGAAGAGCGTGAAAAAGGTGAAAGTTTATTTCCCTCAACACACTCAGTGGTACAGCACTGCTGGGAAGGTAAGGGAATAAGCTTCGCCGAACCGGCCTCTTCCTCCCATCAGCTCATGACAAGCGGATGGCAAGATGTTGATGTGACCATGGATGATATTCCGCGTTACTTCCGCGCTGGCAGCATCATACCGTAAAACTGTCATACTTGCACGAAGGCTAATGTGAAGTGTCTGATCAGGCGAAAAGATACTTACCGCAGCTCGAGTAGGTTAATGATTGAGGACTATTACTCTATCTATGTCTACCCGCGTCCTTCGGACTACTCTGCTGAGGGCTACGCGTATGTTCCATCTTCAGAGCATGACCTCGGTATAGTGGCCTTGTTAGGTATACAGATGATACCGTGAGCTATGACAGCACTGACGACGACAAGCATAACTTCTGGAAACTAACGTACGTAGTCGCTCCTGATGTATGGTCCGGCTGACCATGATGACGTTTCTGCTTACTGAAGCTCATCACCTTTTATAGTCTCCGGGGAGCCCGTCGGGCATTCTCGCCATCGGTTATTTAGATTCAGAGACCGCGAACTGAAAGTATTCCCTGGCGGAGGAAGCGGTCACTTCGACTTTTGCATCTCCAACATTATCATTATAGGACAAAATCAAGGTAAGCATCATTATAAGTGAGCAGGCCAACATGTTCGAGCCTAGTGTTTGGGACTGAGTCACTTCTGTTTCGTCAGCCGAAGAATTTGATGACGTCACTAGATCGACGTGGGACGTCGGGCACGAAGGCGGAGAAACAATGATGAAGATCCCTCCGGAGCTTCGCTGTGTGCCCTCTCGCACAGCCCGAGTCTTTAGTACCACCCAGTGAGGAATCTATCGACCGGCGGCTTAGTCCATCTCGATCCTCGGATTTTTATCGCTTTTTTGGAGGGAGTCTAAATATTTATGCTTGATGATTTTTTCATACGAGTCCATGACACTCGAGACCTCGCAATCTCAACACAAGATCTGTTCCTCGAGAGTTTTCGACATCGTGGTTGTTTGAGTTAATATTAAGTTTGTGTCATACGTTTTCATTCGCTTAATCATCTGCAGTGGACCTAGCGAGCACCATATGCACACATCACGAGTGCGAGCACAAGAAACGCTAGGTTGACAACATTTATTCACGATTCTAGGGTGGCACACAGAAGGAAAAATTGAAAAATTTCCTTACGAAGGAAATTTGAAATTCGATATCTTTCATAGTTCCGATTAACCATCACCATTCCAGATTACAAATTGGTTCAGTTTGGAAATTTCCTCCAGGAGTGTACCGTCCCAATAGGAACAGCGCTACTTGTATTCTCACTTGCCTGTTTTCTCGATATCTAATATCGCCTTCTATACAGTGCGATTTTATGGTTTCATGCGAGTCGAAACGGTTGCTAGATTTTTTTGGTTAGTTTTTTTATTTGAATTAAACTAGGAAGAGCTTTGGATCTAAGGATTCAATTAGAACATTCGAGTGGGCAAGTGATTTGTAGCGCTCTCTAATCGCTCTATATACTCTGTCTCCGAGCTCGTCCAACTACTCGCTCGTATACACTCTCTTTCAGTTTGCACTCTTATCGCTTAAACTTACAGAAGCTGAACGGGGTGCTACTTAGGGCAGGAACAAAATTATCTACTCGTGATCACCCTATGTTATCTCATAAGTCCATAGCTTCGACCCCGCCTTCAGCGCCGTCTTACGACGCGACTGCACCGCTTGGAACCACATCTACGTCGAGTCCATCACTAGTTTCTTCTAGTTCTCTGCTAACTTAGGGGTGACTTAGGGGCCCTAATTCGTCCCTGAGCCTCAACCAGGAGTCTGTTTTACACGACACATCGAATAAGAGTTTGGGGGGTCGTTCAATAAACCGATTTCGAAACTCAGAATCGATTCCAGAATCGCTTATCACACGTATGATACGATGCTGAAATCGAACCTGAATTCCGAAATGGATTCAATGAGCATGGGGTGGGTCTGGAAGAACTAGGCAATGGTGACATCCCTGGGACACTGACGCGCCATAGTATTCCGTCAGAATAAACTCTGGCATGAACTTATTGGCCGTTTCGTCAGTGGAGATTTCCACCAGTCTCTGGATGGCATACCTGCCCCAAAAACGTAATCAGTTTAGCTGATATCGAGACTGATTCCCGCACTTCATCGAAAAATTCGACTCGAAATCGGATGTATGTTGGTCGTGCCGATGGGATTGATTTTCCTATTCCGTGTTCGTGCGAAATTGATTCTATGTGGGGATATACACCCCTCCACACATTCTTAGCATATCTGGTTTTTCGACTCGAGCACAGCCACCACAACGAGTATCATCTTGCGGGTCAGGGAGGTATGTACCTATGCTTTACCTGATATGACCTCCAAGTTTCAGGACCTAGCTCTTCGTAGCTAGTGAGTAGTCGAAGACCGGTAAAAAGTTTTCTCCACATATTATTGGCATACACGTGTTGAAATTGCGCCTCAAAATACCAACTTTTACTGGGGGAGTATATCCATAACTCCGCTCCTGATCTAATGCTATACATCAACAGAAAAAGGATCGTTCATAATGGTATCTCTCCATGTTTCACTCTCATATTTGGAGGCACGAGCCTGCGAGAGCGTCGTGACCTCCGACGGCTCCCTGCATGGCGGATTTTACACCTTATTTCGGCGCGCTTTCGTGCTCATCAGCTGTCCTACTCAGTTTTGGCTGGACACTCGTTGTGGTGGCTGTGCACGAGTCGAAAAACCGGATATGCTAAGAATGTGTGTGGAGGGGTGTATGTAGGTGCCATAACTGCCCCATCCACGACTTTACAACTTAGAGTTGAGAAGGCCTTTGAAAAGACTAGCCTAGTTCACATTCTTTCTCACAAGTTTCAGAGACATTAAGATCACGTGGCTCTAAAACCACGATTCATTTCAACTCTTCAGTAGGATTCACAAGAAACCCCATCATGGGCTTCGTACGCGAAGTCTATGAATGCCTTCAATTTCTCATCTGGAGATGCTTTGGCTGCCATCCTGGCTTTGCGATCTCACAATCTGTTGATCTACCGAGTAAATTCCACTCAGCTAACGTCATGAGGAAACACCTCTATACGTGTAAACCCCCACTGATGCTTCCCGCACGTCTTATAGATGGTTGCCAGCCATCTAACGATGGCCTTACTCGATTCATTCTCCATCAGACTCAGACTTATAGCTACCAAGATTCTACAACCTGGCAGGAGATATCAGATTGCAGGAAACAGCGAAACGAGGAGGCCAGAGCGTCAATCATGGATTGGCGACCAGTTAGCGCAAGTGCGAAGTCGAACTTCACTTTGATATCAAGTTGATATTATCAACGTAGACAACGCTCAATAGTGCATCGTGTTAGTCTTATGCCGCCGCGGACTGAACTCATCGTCGTCAAGGTCTCAGTGAAACTCTAACTTGAGTAGTGGAGTAATGTTAGAGGCATCCTCCTCTATCGTGCTATCCCTGATTGACGTATCGAACTCAGACATGATAAGGCTTATGAAATAGTCTCGTGAGAAGACGAGAGACTGGAACCCACAACCGGGGAGACGCCCCCCCGCTCCCCTCGCCGCGTCACGTCACCATAACGTGCCGTCACAATTGCAGCACACGATGCACGAACGTTAGCTGTCCGCGCACGCCCACTGCACGTGCGCCAGCTACAAGTAATCAGATTCATGTAATGATAGGGTAGACTGACTGAAGAGCGATATACTCTATCTGATAGGGAGTAGGGTCTTGCACGGGCTAGAGTGGATAGCCCACGAACGAACCTCCTTAACTGCCCTGATCATCGATATGCGCTGAAAAGGTTGGAGATAATAATACTCCGAAAGAAATTGAGACGAGCAATGACGGAAATATCGAGAAGAATCCTAGCCGTCAATGGGAGGGACACAATATGTCGATACATCACACTAACGGATGCTCAGGTGGCTCAAGCCCTCTTCGCACTCGTTGACCTCCTCTTGCACCTCGCTGGTAGGCTCAGCTTTTCTCGAAAAACGAACAGCGCGGAACGCCAGCGCAGCTAGCAAGGACCCAATGATTTGGGCTACGATGTACACACCGACGCTTTGGATCTCTTCCTGAGGAAAATAAACACTCACTTTTACTTCACGAACTCAGAATGAACAATATATCGAATCGCTTGCCAATCATCTTAGCGAATGAATCAGCGAATGAAGCGAATGAAAATTTTCCTCCGAGGATCAGCACTCACTTGGCTGAAGACGAAGACTCCAAGGGTGACGGCCGGATTCAGGTAAGCCCCCGAAATCGGACCGATTGCGTATGCAGCAGAAATCACTGTAAAGCCGATGGCCACACCGTAATAATGGTTTCCAGCATCTCTGGAGGTCGCAACATTAAGAACCTGAGGAGCTACTATCACGGGGTCTTTGGAATAATCCTCCCTATCTTACAACGAACGCGAGAGCCATGGTGAATATGATTTCTGCCAAGGCGGCCAGGAAGACCGAGAACTGGTCACTTGGTTTGACCGTTATCTTATCACCAGTCAAAGCGAAAGAGATGCCCGCACCGGCGATGCCACCAAGAACCTATCCGCCGTATGTAGGATGGACGAAGCTTTATGGAAGCTTGATCACCTGGACGATCATATAAATAGGAGCATCGGTGAGTGTGAACTTGCAAGGATTGCCCAGGACAATACCAAGGGTTACCGATGGATTGAAGTGCGCACCAGACACACTGAACAGCAGCTGATCGGAGGTACAGGGCCATTAGCTCACCTTCCCATGGAGAATATCATAACCATCAGAATCGAACCAATCGACAGGGGGGCGTTAGGGTTCTGCATGCTCACATTCAGCCCCACAGTGAAGACCAAGAAGAAGGTTCCAATAAACTCGGCTACGTACGCTGGGAATGTGTGCAGAACCGTCTGAGAGACAATAACAAGGTCCCCAAGATGGTCGCCAATCATAATCGACTCTAACCTAAAACGTGCTAAACCGAGCACTGTACCCATGAGAGAATCCTGCTCGTGGAGGGACCAATATGTACTTACTGTTTTTCTGTTCAACCAGATAGCTTTCATACTCACTCAAGGATCGAATCTCAAATGCCGAGGCGGGGCAACTTACGGAAGGTGCAAGAGCACTACAACTGAAGACAGAGCAGTATGCTTGGAAAGGGGATACCTAGTGGCATGCCTTAGCTACTTCAAATCACAGAGGAATAAGAGTCGCAGGGACATATAGGGCATACTGTAGGTGATAGTAGACAGCGCATCTTGGACAAACAATACTAAGTATACCGTTCTCAGTTCTTAGCAACATCATGCTATATAACTAATATACAACAAAGCACGCATACATCCTGGGCTTGCAGTCCTCAGATCTGCTTCTCAACCATGATGCAATCTATCGACCGTTGGCGGAATACACGTGTACACAACTCGTGTACACAGCTCTCATGTAACACGACAACTCAACTTTCATTGAAAGGTGACAAAGACTAGTGTGTGTTTGGAACACTGAAATAGCATCTCTTAATGGCGAACTAATAACTCTGATGTAATAACTCTATGAAACCAACAATCCTGACTCACTGGGATCTGATTCCTTAACGATAGGCTTTGCACTCCGTGAGTGCCTCGAGGCGTCGTATACCTCTCAGACCACGTGAATCACGTGACACGTGATTCACGTAAGTACATATTGTTGTCCGCCTGTGCGGCCCTGCCTGTGCGGAATAGACAGTATAAGGCGGGCGGGGGCGCCTTATCCGTAGCTAACGTGTGCATGCGTCAAACGGTCGATTGCTGTTACTTGGTCGAGACTCATAGTAGATAACACAAGTTGGAAGGAGTTGAAAAAATCTTTTTAGTCTTAATCTATTCGGGGGAATAGGTGATTAGCTATGCACACACGTGCAATCGCGCACAATGGGTAGAAGCAGTAACACTTTCCCCTCCGAACGAAGTCGATCGATAATGGATAGTACTATAAACTTGATTGTGAGGTGAATGAGTTATTGGTATGATGGTATAGAATAGAGTGAAATGAAATGACGATGAGAAGATCTATTCGGGGGAATAGGTGATTAGCTATGCACACACGTGCAATCGCGCACAATGGGTAGAAGCAGTAACATTTGCATTCAGAGTCTTTCGAGGCATTCTTTTGAGAATTACTGTTGGCACCCCGGCGAACCTTGTCGCCCGCAGCTAAGTATTATCTTACTCCCGTATTTACCTTTGGGATTGTGTTGCCAGGGTCACTAGCATCAACTACCTATAGCATCAACCGACGACCCGGTCACGACTTCGGGTAGATCCGTCAACAACAACAACAACAACAACAACAACAACAAAAAGATAGCTGTCGATGGCCGAACGGAGTCGATTTACATATAGTGAGCAATCGATAAAATGCAGCTAACAGACTGGCCAACAGGAGCGGGCAGATCCTCCTACCACGATATCTTTTTACACGTAACGTGAATACCGATCACGCTTCATATGCAGGTCAATTTATTGGGCAAGGTCAAAGCGGTAACGTAGTGTGGTAGGTTGAGCCTACTAGCTTCTGTTGGTGTAGGCATATGTTATAGGGGCTAGACCTGAATTCACCGAACCCCCCATTCCATAAAATAATTTGTTCAGGAGGTTTGAATGGACAGCGTCCCGAACTCCGATACCTTAAGCGGATGGAGGTTCTTCAATCGAGTACAGTATCGGGCAGTGCTGACAGCTTGGGCTCAGTTCGCACGGCCGACAAGCCATTATACGAGTTGAAACCTGAGAGAGAGGCCTCACAGTTCCATAGCTGTCGATAGCGCGCGACCAATTCCCAACACTCCAAGGGAACTTAATACCAATCGGTTAACGTGATCTAGAGGTAGAGATCCAGCATAGTTCCGAATGACTCTATCCAAATTGTGAATGCAATGAGAGTTTCGAATCTGACGAGTTAGGAAGTTGGGTTTCGAGTGCGGGGTTTGTCGGCACATAGTGCAGCTTTGCGCATACGTACTGCCAGGCTCCTTATATGCTCTTGAGCAATCGTTCATCATCTTTCGCAGGATCACGACATGCTAACAGCGAAGCGGAGGCTGAACGGATCAACGTATGTAGCCCGGAAAGTGGACTATTCATCTCGCGGGCCTTCGGCTCGCTCTTAACTCCTGAGGACAGTGCACATACCTCATAGCTCGGCTATGCACAATCACTCTAGTCATCACGATCCGTTCACGGTTGCACAGCTTGGTCCCCAGCGCGCCCCAAGTCTCTTTCCTGACACAAGTTCCTCTCTCTGCCACGTTGATTTCTCGGTCGCCACAAAACTTCCATGCGCCACAGATTCCTACTCTACTCGGCAGTCCGACTCAGGTTGTGAAAATCCTGTTAAGGCCAGCCTCATCGAAGTACATGAGTTCGCATTGAACCTGAACTTTCTTACCCGAAGTAAGTTACCTCGCTTCCCCGTGTGAAGTCGAGGTTAATGTCGCTGAAATGGAAGAAGCTGCCTGGTCAATGTCATGCGTTCTTACAGTATCGTTCACGCCTTTTGATGGCCCTTTCTATGTTCTGTCTAAACTTGGAGACTAATTGTCTGACATCGCTCATCAACCTTGCAGTTATCGCTGAATCTCAACCAATGTGTTTGAATATTCCTAGTTTGATGCCAATGCCTTCACCAATAACATGGTCAGACCATGTTGAAGAGGAAAGGTCAACTGAAAGAGAGACTCTCTCTGTCAATTGCTCTTTCCTCTATGAGCTTGCCAATCGTGCGAATCCCGCATGTAACTCTCAGCATTTTGAACAGCCCTAGCACGTTTACGGACTATTCCAGACTTGAAAGACGATTCTTACTCCAAAAACTCACTCCAAAACTCAACACCTGAAGGAATCTACTTCGTTGCATGCACGCCGTTCGACGAAGCTACCCTAATCATCGTTGAAAGTACCAAGTCGTAAGACGTGAAATAGTGATCATGATACGCTTGAGACGAACAGCGATGCCGACTATATCTACTGTTCTGTCCCGACACCGGCTGAATAGGAAGAGTAATAGATATATCTTTTTTGAGCAGGCTCCTATCTCAGATATCGCGCCACTAATGATGACTATACTAGTACTAGAAGAAACAACCCCTATGGGACTATAGAAATCCGCGATTCAATAATGTGTCAAGATCAAGAGAGAACTTTCCTAATAGCGACCAATACTCCTCTCCAACACATGCATATAACAAAAAATTGAAAGCCAGCCATATCTGGCTCGTCAGAATAGATCTGTCGGTTAGGCAGGCGATAATAGCAAGTTTACAGGCTCAGAAGCCTCGATAGTCGCTGTTCGGAAGACTTACAATGAGATACGCGAAGTAACTCTACTGATCTTCTAGGTTACAGAAAGAAATGAAGTCCACTCCTACGATAGGGAGCCGCAGTAGTTGTTGGCTTGATCACACATTGAGCGAAATGATAGGAGGATCGGCCTGCCTATCTCGTAGTAGAAATGATCTTTATGGAATCGGTCAGGATGCAGCTGCAGGTTCGTCCATTGCTTGTTCCGAGCCGGTCTAATACACACACAGTATCATAGAGGGACCAACGAGGGAGATCTTACTCGGGGATCCCGATTGGGATGATCAATTGTTTCGCCTAACATTGATGTCGGGCTGCTGCCACACCTCGTACTAGTTGACGCGTCGCTGGCTTTGCGCAGCCTTTCCAGTGTGCTGCGACGCACCGTCTGAGGGCTCAAAGTCACCAGCGAGCATGAATCAAGGTCGACGACTTCAGACTATGTATAGCGCGCTGTGCATTGGGAAGAATGACTGTTGCAATACGAGATACTCGCCAAAAGACGAAGCCAGCCACCATCCAAGTCATTGACGACTGCTGACTCCCTCACGAGCCCACCTTGAAAACTGTCTCCATGAGAAGCGCTAAGTCATCCTGAGAAATATCTTCCGTTTTGGTGGCCAATGCAGCAGCTGCCGCCGCGGCCGCCGCCTGAGAGGTCGCAGTCTCTTCAGCTTGGGTTGCGATGTCCAAGAAGTGATTGCCAGCTGGAGGCTCCCGAACCTGCAAACTCGAAGACATCGGAGGCTAGCAGGAAAGGCGCAGACTCACCGCATAGGGCAGCTCAAAAGGCGACACCGACTCGCATCCACTAGCTGCGGTGATGCTCATGTCTGACTGTTGGGCATTCTCGAGCTGCCTCAGGAGCTCCTGCGCTTCCTCTGATGACATGGTCTGAGAGGAGCGGCGTCTCGTAGTATAGGGACGGCGCCCTGTACTGGTCTTGAGCTTTCCTCATAGTTGGCGAGTTCCAGAAGAGCAGGTTCGATAATGGAAGGGGAGAAACCAGCTGGGCTGAAGTCCTCCGATGTGTCAGGCATGAGAGGCGGAGCGATCCTGAAGATGACGAATACCCTCATTCAGCAACAGACACCCATCAGGATGCACTTACGAGTCGTGTATCATCGGGCGGGATGTAGCCATGGAAACTGAGGAGTCCGAGGGGATCCCGTCAGGTGATAAGATTTCTGTTTTCTGTGCAAAACCGTCGCTGTAACCGCTCTCTTGTGGCTCCGGCGGACCCCTCGGGATCTCGCCAGCAGCTCGGGCGTTCCGAGCCCACTTTACTTCGAAGAACCCTGAAATGAAGGCTACAATGGGGCCAGAGTTGTACAGAGCTACAGGTCCGTCCGAAAGGGTCGTCCATAGAAATTGTCCTCTCCTCACAGGCCTGGTAGGCTTCCAACGCGTGTGCTCGATGGACAAAACGGACGAACCCGTAACAGCGTGGCAAGTGAGTGACAGGGTCATAGACAACCTTGACGTGCTCGAGGGGACCGAAGCGGCCGAAGCGGCAAGCTGGCAGGGAGGAGTCGAGCTAAAGGCGCTCATCAAGAACTGGTCTCACCCAAGTCCGCTTCCTGGGCTTCACGAGGGAACCGAAAGACCATGAGGGTTCGAACGGCTAAGTTAGGATCGGTAAAATCCGTCTGGGGATATGGCCTTTTGACAGTGCTGCCGGTGCGGCTCGAACCAGAATACTTCCTTTCTGGAGGGTACCTGTTATTGCTACTGTTACTGCTGTTCGTCGGGGAGGGGTCGAAGATCACACTCATGACAAGAGGGTGAGAGAGAGACACTTATTGAGCTGCTTCACTCATAGTCCCAATCCTTTGAACACGACAGTTACTCGATGGAGAGATGACGGCGTGTGAAAAGAGGACGTGATCTGAATTTATGCTCTCTTTTTATTCTTCTTTTTACTCCTCTTCACTGTACTTGGGTTTTTACTGGTGTCTTCGACTCTGTATCGTAGGACGTGAGGAACGTCCAGCGAGGCTAGAGTCCTGATGCAAAGAAGCCCTGATGGTATCGGTAGAGGAGGAGGATGAGGCTCACTTCAAGACCCCGCCCCTATCTCGAAGGGCATGCAAATTACGAAGGCAAATCTGGGCCCGCGGATGGAGCTCACCGATTGAGATCTGCTCAGAAGCTGCTTCCAATGGGATAGATACTTACCGAAAAGGCCTCCATGGCAACCCCAAGGAACGCGAAGGCCTCTCGATCCCTGCCCATCTTCATGAACGCCGCTCCTGCATTATGATAGGCTGTCGCTATATGTGGACACACCTGCACCAAGACTGTGCAAAGAGGACGGACCGCTGTCGTAGTAGTCTGGCTATGACCGTATGCTCTCTCCCCTTATACATAGCATACGCCTCCCTACAGTCCCGGGCTTCTAGATAGGAGTGTACTGCAATATCGAAATGGCCCATACGGAAAGATATGTACCCCAGGGCGGACCAGACCTAACCCACCGTACGGCAAGCGTGATGGTGTTAACGGCTACCTGAGCGTTCAAGGGGTAGCTCTCAGGTTCATCCAGATCGACCCATATGCTGAGAACGCAGCCAATGGCCCATACCAATCTCAGCGCCGTCCCATACACTGGGTCCTGCCGTACAGCCGGGACTGATCTGATCAGGACTGGGGCCTACCTTGCTGGGGTCGGCTGGTGAGTGAGATGCTACTACTAATGACGATAACTCAGAGGCGAAGAATCTGAACTCTAGTGGTAATGGGGGATGGGGACACCCTCTCTGTACCCACATCTCAGCCGCCACAGGGATGGGTGAACGGCAGCCCTTAGCCGCCATGTTTTCGATGTCATCAGCGAGCATGCTGGCCCATTCCGAAGGGGACAGGAGAGGGTCCAAAGGGACTACTTTATATACCGGTGGGGAGCTTATCTGCCATAAAGTTCAACTAGGCCCATCCTTCGCAGAGAGCCATGTTAGGAACGCCTATAGTGTGATGCTATGCCTCTCTGAGAGTATCGAATCAAGAGGAACTCCTCCCAAGATTGCCGAGAGCTCGTAATAGGTGTTCACCGGTTTAACGAAGTCGCCAAGCGGGCGGGCAGAGTGCTCCTTCTCTCGGCTCATTGAAGAGGAGCCCTTCCCCTTCCCGCAATTTCCTCCTGGATTGATGTAAGCTGCAACCTTGTCCAGTGCCTCCTTCTCTCTGGAGGTAATAAACCCACTGGGCTGGAAGATCCCAGATGAGGCAACCCAGGTCCATTCAGCTCGAGCATGGACCAGTGCGAGGGCCGACTCAAGATATTGCCGCTCACGCCTGAGCCCAATGCCAGGCCTCCGAAAGAGATCCACAACACCCCCACCTGAGCACGCCAATGCGATCGATCAAGTCCTCTACATCCTCCGAGCATTCGCAAGCTGGCGGTTCCCAAGGCTCGTCTATAACCGTCACGATGGTACTAGCACTGCTACTGTCGGGCACTGTAGGGCTCGCCGAGAAGGAGGATGAGGACGAGGCAGGCCCGTCTGGATACTCCTCCTCGGCTGCCGTCTGCAACACCATAGGTCCTTGCGCGAAAGTAGACACCAATGAGACGATCCGGACTTACCAGCAGCCGGTTGCCGTCTCGCCGATACCGAGCTGGTCGTACCGGGACCTTCGCGTTCTCGGCTAGTCGTTCATGAAAACTCCAGATACCCGTGGCTGAGGGGACAAAGTGGTGACATGGAACTCGCCGGCCGTCCCACGCATTTGGAAGGCGGACATGGCCTGTCCCTGAGCTTTGCCCTTCTTCCCTTTGCCCTTCTTTTTCTTGCTACTCCTCGGCCTCGTCTTAGCTACTTCCTCCGCCGCTACGCCCACAGGGGGTAATAAGGGTTGTCCAATGGGAGGAATCGTCAGAGGCCTTCACGAGGACGAGAAGAGCAGCGTTATCGCACAACCAATTCCACATCATTTTTTATTCAAGTTTAGATTAAATTCATCATTCAAATTGCTCAGATCTTTTAGACGCGTTCATTTTACTGAATAAGATCGAACCATCAAAAATGGTATAGTTCACAGTAGATGACTGCGGAGGAGAGAGCTCCAACGAAACACGAAACAACACACATCCTCAGACCAAGATTCTCGCATTGTACGCTCTGGCAAGAAATTGCCCACGGCTTGCCTGCATATCCACGAGCTGCTAGAGGGCACACACCTCATGAGAGCGAACGAGCCCTACTATTGCATAAATAGTTGCTTCATCACTCAACCGAGACCATAAGGATGACGAACTCGAAGGGGATAAGTTGTAATAGAACGCACTACTCTCTACTTACAGTAACAGCTACTACGCTACTTCCAGAATGGTGCGGAGGTTAACGCTAAAGACGAGAACTATGTAGCTTTTCACCTTACTCCTCCGCCTCGTCAATGAAGAGCTTCTCATCCAGAGAACCAAGGTGGTCTCGTAGAGCCTTCAGCCACTCTTCGATCTTCACCATGCTTCCCGGAGCTTCCGTCGCATCCATTGAATTGATGACAGTAAATTCACACCATTACGAGATGGAACCCAAAACGCAATAGTTCCACGTCATCGACACCCCGAGAAGTTCACACAGACTTCGTGGCAATAACTTCCTTCCCTCCGCCAGATCATCTAGGCAGCCTTCAGCCATTCATCCGGACCGCCTCGTTGGGGGGTATACCGACCGCAGTACTAAGAGAGCGTCTACGTTGACCATCGTCACCATCAGCTACCCTGTTGGCGACTTTAGGGCGTCTGGTGAGACTCCCTACTACAAGTCGGGAACGCATCGTCTCTCAGTGATCTGGTCTGCTAGCATGCAGTGCAACGCCCATTGTGCTGAGGAAGCATCTCAAATTCATAGTCTCGGCCGCGCTTCAGACTAGATTTGGGCTCCTAAACTTCCGTTGTGTTCCCAGGCAGCCACGTGCGGCCAAATCTACACGAAATGAGTACAGCCAAGACGGGCAGAAGAAGCTCTTTAGCTGCCTCAGGATCTTCTTCTTCGAGAGTAGCCGCAGCGGCACTCTGCCGAGAACGTTATCAAATTCCAAACGAACTACACCATGAATCCAGCAAGTAACCATAGCGCCCGCCCCGAGAGGTGTATTGACTAACAGGGAACAACACCAAGGGTTGGGTGTAGGTGGAGAAATCAATGCTATAAATGGTTCCACAAAAACAATGACAATAACCACTGAAGAGTGTGCAAAAATGGGCAGAGGCTTCGAACGACCAGAAACAGATATATCAACCCTCTGAAGGCATCTACTCTTTCTTCGGTAGAGTCTGGATCCGAGGTTGAGCTGAGGGGCCCTGCTGGTCCTGCGAGATGCTCGTACTGCTACTCCTAGTAGTCATCCTATCGCCTGTCTCGAGATCGATTTGGGGAATACTCTGGTATTCCGTGGGAGGCTTCGACGGCGTCTTAACCTTACAATAGGTCCACACTCCTGCTCCCACAACAGTGGACATGACACCTAGGAACTGTCTAGCTGACCAGCCCTTCATCTCGTCCAACAGCATCTCAGCTAAACCCAGTAGTAACACTAATTGCACGTTACCGACTATTGCAGTGCCTGTCGCTGACACCACCTTGATCATGGTGAAGACGATGATGCTATAAACAACCGAGCAGGAGCAGCCCGCCGCCAGGACCATGACAGTCTCCCCAGGGCGCTCCTGGAAGTAGGTACCGAAATCCCATCCCTCCGCCCAAATAGCCACCGGCAGTAACGTCACACAAGCAACAGCAGCCGTGTACAAGGTTAACAAGAGGGGATGTATACGAGTGCCAGGACCGAGGAGTCGTTGAGAAATGACCATCTGGAACGACAGGAGAATGGTCCCGAGGATGCACTGTAGTATACCTACATGGACCTGACAATAAGCTGCTGTACTCTGTATCAAGCACTACCCTCTTACACTAGAAGAGTTGAACCCACTAGGTGTTCGGACCGTGAGGGCAACACCCAGTGTCAAGAGCAAAAGCGACAGTTTCTGTAGACTAGTCGACTTGGGCGTGTGTAGGATAAACCGACCAAGGACAGCGATGACTACTGGGGAGGCAGAACGGATGATCTGTTGGCGGTGAGGTGGAGTCACTAGAGTCGGAGCCCATGACCTACTTGGTTCATCGATAACTCTATCCGCACTAGACTAGCATTATTCAGAGCTAATTGGACGCCGTTAAGGATGGAGACTGCACATACTGGCCATATATGCTTCTGGAGGTGGGTCGATACCTACATACGGTAAAGTGGACTTCAACTACTTCTCAGGCCCAACTTGAACTGAGACAGTTGTACGTCCAGTCGTATGAGCTAAAAGCCTACCTGCTCCCGCATGGATGGCCAGCACGCCACCACGGGCCCTATCGTGAAGACCATCGCCACCATATTAGCCCCGGTGAGCATGAGAGGAAAATGGAAGCCATGGACACCTGATATACAATTGTACAGAGTAGTCACAACTAGTCCCTCTCAGACCGACCTAGTGCCCATCGGTTAAACAAGCCCATTGTAGCGTTCAACCCGCAATACAGAAGTATCTGCCAACCACGAACAAACAAGAGTCTCCTATAATTATCGACAAGTGTCTAAGTCGCCACTCAATGGAAGCATTTGTATACCACTATAACGGGAAGGCACTATGAGGTACTATGCCTTACGATGAAGGTGACGTATAGGCGATACAAGAGTGTTGTTGGACAGGTGGATGACGACTTGGCCTTGGCGTTGCTGATACCACTCTCCTCCTCTTCTTCCCGCTGGCCTTCGTCAACTTCAAATTCGTCGGTACTGGGTACGTAGTCCCCCGTGCTTCTGGCTGCTGCTGGCGACATTGAAGATGATATCGGGGAGACAGCGACAGCAGCACCCGCAACTTTACTCGAAAACAACGCCATAAAACTACCACATCACCACGATATTCAGTAGCAATAACTACGACTCTAATGCTTGCTAGCAAAGCCGAGACAACGCTCCGCCTTAGCCGATAGTAGTGCGAAGAAAGAAGACACTTTCTCTGCTAGTTCCTCGACAAAACCATACCGTTCGGTGCCTAGGTAAATCACGTGAGCATGAGTAATACGACTATCCGAGAATAGCTTGTACGAATCCCCTATCGCTGTTTGCTTCATTGTCAACACTGAGCCTCTGGCATTCGATACTAATACTATATGAGAATAATCATACTTGTCCACGGCCCTACTGCCGAGCTACATTGTTGTTGGTAACTGCTGTGACGGTGGCGTCACCAGGAGTAGCCGCTATTTGTACCAACATCATGTAGCAACTAGGCTCTAACGATAGAGCTTCGGCACCTGATGTTGTATGTGCTGACCGAATGAAAGTGCCGGTGTGGTGCCGGGCTTACATGCTTCCGAAGGTGGGCATAGATAGTAATAGTAGTCACCAGTGTGGATGAATCCAACCCTGTCCTTCCCTATAAAGTAGTCACATAGCTTATCATACCTGTTGGGAACACTCTTCACCACAGGCACATCAGAAGGGAAAGAAAGCCGCTAAGTCTTGGCTGCACTACGTGGTAATGATGATGATACTAATGAGGCTTCAGTGAGTTCACTATTACCAACGACGAGGCTCACTATGGAAGATACGAGCGTCTTATTACCCTTCGCAGTCGTCTTTGGTTGCCGCAGAGATGTACCAAATAGTGCTATCCTCGGGCTGTCTCTCTACGTGACTCCGACAATGTTCAATCTTCGTGCGCTGATCTATGTTCAACTTGGACAGACTGAGCATAACTCCGTGGCTGTCACGACTACTATCATGCCCCTTACTGTGACAGGCTATTGACCTCAGAGCCTCTCACAAAGCGCCACCTCACTTCGCAGGCCAGCTCACCCATCTTCAAGATGGCCATCGTCTCCCTCGATCGATGCTTGCCAGATCCTCGCGTCCCCTCCATGCTATCCGAGGCCTCCCTAAACAGCACCAGTCGCGGCAACGCTGGGGCTGCCGACACACTACCGTTCATCATGTCGCCTGCGATTATCACGTCTGTTATCTCTGCTTCGCGACCTATGCCTATGCAGAGATCGGTCTCGAGCACCCAATCGATGGTTCCTATACTCATCCAAGGACTGGTGTAAGCCTGGTACGCTCTGAAACAGGAAACACCATAAGGGAGTGGGCTGAAGATGTACCATCCAAGCGGACTATCACCTCCCTATTGCCAGTGAATCCAGTAGTGTGGTCGTGTGATGCAGGAGCCGAAGTGAAGTCAACATTGAGATGATGTCCAGCAGCTATCTCCAGGCCGTACATGCAGTTGTAAGCCTTCACTGCATCGGCAACGTGTGAGTACCTACTCCAGTGAATGCGCAATCAGACCGAAGAACTTGGCAACGACGGAAAATGCTAGTAGACCGGAAAGAGGATATGTTCGCGAGCTCATGAAGTAAATACCACTACAGGATGAAAGAGACCATATATAACCACAACACACTCACTGTATAAAAGCGCAGTTCTTGTTGTCGAGCATTCGGAAGTCTTCGATATCTGACCATAGCAGTAAGGCTTGGACAACTATGATACCAAGCTTACATCCGAAGGTGGCGAAGGCCTTGTTGAGATCAGTCTCCGAGACCTTGAACCCCATGGGTATGCTCCAGCCGACCCACAGCTTTTTGCTCGCTTTCAAGGGCGGAGCGAAAGCCACATGCGTCGCGTGACCGTGCTCATGCAAATCCCTGAGGCAATCATCGTCACGATACGACTACGGCTATCGTGCTGTACTACTTTTCAACATGAGACTGCAGGAAAGCAGCTGCTCTAGTTGACCTCAGCGTGACATGGAGCACAGGGATGCCGGCTATGGTTATCTGACACGGGATCAAATCAGAGCCTCGTAGGGCGTTGCCGACGCCCACGTGGACATTTGATGCAAAAAATGAAGTCCAGACCTGAACTACGTTAGTGGAGTTCCCTCACTCATTAGTAAGGACATATTCTAATCATCTTAGATCAGCAGTATACGCCTCTTCCGAATGGATATGTTCAATTTCCCGCTAGGTCCATATTACTATTACCTTATTAGTTTCCACGAGATCATCCAATCTGACCCAGCGAGCTAAGAAGCTTTCAATGGAGCGTCTAGAATCGATGTCGACCTCGGAACTGGGTAGGTTCCCAAAAATAACGTATCGGTTATTGAGGTACTCCCGATGAGGATGCTTACTGTAGTCGTCAAGCCTACATATGATGCGAAGTGAAATGAGATAGGGAGAACACAACCAAAACCCCTCCGAGAGAGAAGGTGAAAGCACGTCGTTACCAACTCGAAGTTAACCACAAGTGGTCCTACACCGTCAGCGAATTCTCTTACGATGACTATGAACCCACTGAGCGACTCCTGTATGATACCCCTCCCCCATACTACAGCGCAGCACAGTCATCATGTTCAAGGTCGTGTATCTCACTCCAATGCGACACTGGCTGCTCTGGAGGCTCGATTCTCAACGCTTGCTTCTCGTCGCTCAACAGACGCCGTCGCATGCCTATCCATCGAGATCTATGAGCACCCCCTACCCTAAACACTACTACCACCAGCATGCCTAGCTCCAGTGCCAACGACACGAGCGCCGGCAAGATACTCCCCGGTTAGTGGGTCCACGTCCATTCGCACCGCAATACCACCAGTGGGGGCTGATCCATCTCCAGCAGCACTGAAGAGACTACTGAAAAAAGCGGCATCACTAAGTTCCCTCACCCTTTCCCCTTGTGATGATGATCACCTTGCTGTGGAGCAAAGTATACATGTACCTGTATTGAATCCATACCACTCGACGGTCAGTTCGCGACACCCGCTTACTTCATTATCATCGAATTTGGAATTGTCGAGCTTCTCACGGGCAGAATAAGCCGACTTGGTATTCTTGAAATTAACGATAATCTTATCTTCTTCCTTCTCCACATTTCTGAACACGTTTACCGGTGCACACACGCGGCCTCCGTCAATATAGAATACTACAGGACTTCACCAAATCTACCGCATCGCATCTCTACTTCTGCTTCATCTGTGTCCTCAGGAGCGTTGAATATGAACAGCGTGCCTAGGAAACAGGTCATCCACCGCGCAACAAGTAGTATAAACACCACAAGTAGCGCTTTATCCTGTGTGTAAAGCTATTGATCTAGGCATTACTGCTAGGAGGGTTGTTGAGCAACTCCTGTGCATTGTCCGGCACCCCTTCCCCAGACATGGCAGTATCCTCCCCCTGAGCATCCTCGTGCTTCGGGGATAGCTGTTGTTGCACACCCCCAAAGTCTCCATAGTCCACGAAGAGATCTTCGCCATCATCATCATGGGCATCCATTGGTAACCGTTGGAGAAGAGGAGAAGGAGAGGCGAGGAAACAACAAAGAGAAGAACGCCATAGACACACAAAAGAAATAAACCCAGCACTGGCTCCTGGCAAGAGCTACATTACCGAACACATATAATGCCACTATTGAACACCAACTTGAACGCACCAAGTCTTCATAATAATGCTGAGACTGATGGCCAAAACTGGTAGCTATAAGGTTGAGGACCCAGCAGTACTGCCTGGAGTAAGCTTCCCATGCGGTGGCGGATTGCTGTCCTTCAACGAACTGACATTAATGACCTAAATGCACGAAATGCACGAAACCCACATAGTGGGTCTGGCAACGCAGCGCATCAACAGGAATACAGAAAAGGAGTAACGAGTCGTTAATGGACACGTGGGGATCATGCGTCTTCACACTCATCACTTTCCTCGGAAGACTCAGTGTCCTCTCCAGTTACGACCTGTCAACCAAGGATAGCAACACGATACGACATAGTCACAGTGGTGACCTCGCCGGTGCTCCTTCCGATAGAATGGGCTTCCTTATGTACAGCAAACAGCGAGACCAAGTCCACCGTAGGCGCCGCCTCCCGAGACAGTCCTTCGAGACCGCCCTCTTCAGAAGCTTCAGACATACTACGGGAAGTGGACTCAGCCGTCTCCTGTCGTCCCTCATCACTGCAATTAAGTTCACTGGATGCATAAGGCTGGATGGGCTCACGAATAGAAGAGGTCCAGATCGGCCAGGCTTTGGATCACTTCAGCGGGCCGGCTGATCCCGCTCGGCACATGTACTCGCGATACGGTATCTTGCAAAGATTCATCCAGAAAATACTTCCCCAACCACGACCCGCCATTCAGATGGGGTGGCACCATATACGTTGCTGAGTGGCATCGCCCGACGAGAAACTTCTCGCCACTGGCTCTAACATTTGACCCCGCGCTCCCGATCGCGCTGCCGACGAAGATTGGTGGATCGCATCAAAGGCCTACACAGGAAGGGACACTCATTCCAAGTCTTGTCACCCAAGCAGACCTCAGCCCACTGGCATCGCTAATCAGAGTTGCTGAAGCTACAACGCAAATCTTGGCCTTACCAGCTGTCGCTCGCGCTCACCATCGGCAGCCCTTTCGGGATCAAATTCTATCACGGTCTCGTTGCCCGCCATAGGCACCCCCAAAACGAAGGATAACGATTGAAGATACGCCTAAACGAGCGCTATCCATTGCCTAGCGACCCCATCCATACCTGGGGAGCTCCGGGATCCTCAGGCCCAGGAAGTGGACCATCATTGACAAGCGAGGACTCTCTTACAGCCGCGCCTGTTAGCCACTGCGGCAGGTGAGCATGAAGATACCCTCTGGCGAGCTTGTGCAGGTCAGTGTCGTCTTCGTCGGATGCACCAATCGCCTAAATGGCGAACGGTCGCCGGCTAACGCTGGCCTGCCTTACTCGCTCCCAACCCTCTTGGCATAACTCCGAATAGGCGCCTCTTATGACTTTGAGGATGCCGGCGGCAGCAGCTAGACGTGGGCTAACAGTGGAATCCTTATCAAGTGCCAGAGTCAACATATAGTCGGTAATCTCCGATAACCGAGGTAAGAGCTCTGAAGCACATCCATGGCGAGTCAACGGCTAGTTGAGCCGCATACGCCGAGAAATGGCGGAGGGAAACTGCTCCCTCTTAAGAGCCGTAGCATCTAGAGGCTCGTTGTCGTCAATATTCCGGAGACTGTTGAGTTGATGGAAGGCCCAGAGGCGCATACCGAGGATCACGACCTGGGCCGAGCAGGGTGAACAGCCCCGATCAAGGCACTCAAGACCAACCTGCTGCTTGACCATCTCCTCTTCATGAGCCCAGCCCTTCACCAACAAGCGGAAGGTATCGACCACCGTATAGGCACATACAGCGAGGCCTATAGGGAGAGGTCTACTCTTCACCCAGCATCGATCAGTTGACTGCTGTACCATCTGCTTGAGCTAACAGCCAAACAATGGAAGCCCTAGCTGCAGGAGTGGTCAGCGACTCTAGAGCCTTCGATAGGCCGAGGAGCACCGTCTTCAAATCGCCTTGGTCACCACACCGTTTCCTGTGAGCTATGATGTCTCGCACCTTCACAGGAGTATATACAACTCAGAATTCGGGAGACAGCCAAGTGACGATGGTCTTTCCACTCACAGCAACGGCTGCCTCATTAGCCAAAGAGGAACATGTACTGTCGAGCATGTTCACCAAGCCGACCATTATCCTATCCGACGTAGGCTGGTATTCTCTAGCTATGCAGGTTATCAGGTTCATCACTTTCGCGTGGAAGCCCGTTAAACCTGCCAGACCAATCATCGCCTGGCATGAGAGATCCTGAGCCCTGGGCCGATGGGACGATGCACCCTCACAGGACTGCACTGACCCGGTCGGTGATGCCACCGCACGTAGGTCTGCAACTCGGCGAGGACCTCATTGGCATTCGACGCATCCAGCAGCTCGTACAGTATGGATAGCTTGAGCTCAGCCACCAGTGGACTGTCATACGATCTGAGCGGCAGTAAACCAATTCAAGCAGAGGAATGCAAATGCACTAAGGAGCACTTGAGGAAGAACTTCCGGAGATGAGCTTTGAAGTGAGAAGGGCCCTCTCGGGCTCGCACTAAATGGAGAATCGTTGTAAGGAGGGTCTCCGTTGCCTCACTGCCGCTCGATAATACCAGGGCACCTGTTCCGATGTGCACCATGAGTATGAACTCAGCAACGATCGGTAGAGAACAGCAGCCATCTAGCCGGATGCCAAGCTGGGCCCACTTATGAGATTAGTGCTCACAATTTCACCATATTCTTGGCCACCTAGGTCCCAGATGACGCAACAAGCCAGATGAACGACTAGTACAGAAGTAGATAGGAGCAGCCTTGAGGTGAGGATCTGACACGTGATGTGTTTCGCGGGCCCATCCACGGGTACTGTTCAACTACCGATTCAAGAGGCGTAAACTATGCGACATAAAAAAAGGAGTACAACGGTACCGTCAAGGCTTTCTTCACCCTCTCTGTGAGTTCCACCCGGGAAAGGCTACACGATGGCTGATAATATATCCCTCTAACTACCAAACTATACCACGCCTGATATAGTGGGGAGCGATATCTACACGTTTGTGTAGATCGCGATTTCCACCAAAGAGAGCTTCCCAGAAGGCCATTGTCGTGGCATCCAATGAAAGCGTACAGATGACGAGCGTATCCCACATCATCTCCTCTGTAGCGAACAACACGTCTGCTGTGATGCCTACCTCAAGGAACTGCCGACAATGTTGATGAACATGTTCACGTTCGAAATGCAGTCTGCAGTAGCGATGAAGCAGCTCTGACAGCAGGTACGAGGAAGCATGGCCTCGAGGGAACAGCTGATTCACCAGTGGTGTAGTATTGGCCGAATTGATCCATCAGAGGTAGCAGCTCGACAAGTCGTGGGTAAACACTATGAAGCATGCTCAGCGAGTCTCGGACCGTATCAAGCGTTGACGTGGAGACGCCTGTAGCCGTTGAAAGAGAATCACCAGCCAAAAGAGGTTCTTCCTCTCGCACCTTCCCTCCCATACAGGTTGATGCATACAACAAAATACGACATAGCTGCAGCGCCGACAACCTAACGTCGAGGCAGATGTCACCCTTAGCAGGCGTGTGGTGATAGAGGGTGACTCACCAGCTCGGACCCATCAGTTGCCATCATTTTAATGAGGAGATTCCGAACCAACGGAAACTGATCGACGTCCGTCACGAATACCTGTCAGGATGCAGACACTCTATCATTCTCGATGACTGCAAGGGAAACCACAACGTTCAGTGTGCCAACGATGCTCAGGAGGAGTCTACTTGGGCTACCTGTGGAAGGCATACTGCAGCGACCGACTTCCTGACATAGGCTGAGGAGTCTACTGCAGCTTGATTCACAGCTGCCATAACCACCTACCAAACGCCTGTACAACAGCGACCCATCATCAAGGAGCGAACCTGTATCATCTCGAGGACTCTTATCGCCGCCATACTTCTAATACTGGCAGCCCTAACCAGAGCACTACGACTATCAACAGAGTCTTTTTGGAAAGAGTTGACACTGAGCAAGGCAAGCTCCTTCCTCGACTCTGCATGGGATACGATCCATATGTACCTACCCACCAGTGGCCCCTTCGAAACCCATTTGGCCTACACCAGTCGTTTGAGCTCGAGGTTTGTGGTTGACATGTTCTTCACCACCTCGCTGAAAAGGTCAATGCATACGTCTGGGTCATCTGAAAACGGTTGCTGCCACGGGGCCCGGCCGACTCTCGAGGACCTCACCACAGGATGCCTCTGCTGCCATCAAGCGCCGCATAGCATCGAGCTTAGCCTCCACAGAGGAACTGTTGAGACCTCGTCGTATCTCCCCTGAGCTGAGGTTCGTCGAGCCGTTGAAATACTTGGACTCAGAGAAAGCCGCACCCGACGATACATGCTGCAGCTGAAGAGGGAACGAGTCGGCGTCCCCTCAGGATACAGTGCGGCTCACATTGCTGATGACGCTCTTCACCCCATTCACAATTGTAGTTGCATCCGTACCTCCGCCGTACATGTCTATTGACACATGCCCAAGATGGTTACCACTGAGACGCGTCCCACCGAACACCAAAAAGATGACACTACGAGACGTGCTATATGCTGGACAATGTAACAAATGCATTAATTAGAAAAAAGCTCCTTCAGAGTGATCAGCGAGTTAAGCATCTGAGGAGCTTTGCCACAGATAGCCCCACCAAGGGCGCACCAATGGCCACCGCGACCTGCTTCAGGATAGCTCTAGTCTCCATTCTGGCCATACCACCGTCCGTCTTCACATCGCCGCATGCGACAGCTTTGATATCATCGGCAGTAGAGCTCGCCGACTGAAAGCCAGCTTGAATCTCCTCCACTGTACAATCGATGAGCCTAGAGTCGTTATTGCCTCTACCATTCAAGCGAGCATCGGGATGCCAAGCCGCCCTCCACTGCCTTATAGCAGCTCCAACCGTGGTGCAGTTGTCCGCGGATGCCAGCACACGTGCCCACTTCGAGTCCAAAGGTGAGGTCATCACTGAATTCAGCGTGCGGGCACTGCAAGCCAATGGTAGCTGGGAGTGAACCCACAAGCCTGCCTCAACACCCTTCTGTATCAGTAAGTCCAGACCACTGGAGGCGGAGGGCATCTTACTATGGATAGCCATCACGGTAGCACCGATGGAAGCAGCAGCGTCGAGGACTCTAGGGATTACAGCGAGTAGCAGACGACTGACAGCATCTCCAGCTCTGCCGCAGATGTCCGCCATGCCCCCCATGATAGGAGGGCCAGACCTCTCCAACAACAAGGTCACAGTAAGCATGAGGTCATCAGCAATCGATTGAGCATTCAGCAGCGATGGTAGTATTGTGGAGTACCACCAGTACTGCCCAGAGAAGGCCACCACTGATGCCGCCCTCACTACTGCCTTTCCAATTGCACCAAGACCAGTACAGACTATCCCCCTAGCTGGATCCGCCACGTACTGTATGCCCTTGTTCGCCCAACCGCCCACCTCCAACGCTATGTCCCTCCCCATTGGGAAGACCTCCTTGACCATAACCTCGCATCCCATCTCTACAGCCACCATAGCATACTGGATCACAGGCCTCGCCTTAGTCCACAGTTCGCCCGCGCGGGCTCCAACCTCAGCCATCACCGGGCGGATGCGCTTGCTCGCTCCCGACATTCCCTCCCCTACGACAACAGCAGCCGCTTTGGCCTTGGACGTAGCAATATAGACGACCTCAACGGCCTTGGCAGCACAGAGGCTCAGAGTTCCGTTATCAGTGAAAAGGTTGGATACCCTAGCCATAACGCCTTCAGTACCGGACAGCATGCCTAGATCGGTTACATTGAACTGAGCTCCTACTATAGGCGGCCTTTTGCTGCTGCTGCTGCTACTACTACCCTCCCCCACCAGAGTCGAGTCACTCGGCGGTGCCATCCCGGTAGCCAAGCCCAGCACGCCGATGGCTATGAATAACACTCGTTTGAAGCTGGTAGCATTAGCCATGATGGAGTGGAGACAATAAAGCACCCTTCTACCATGCAAGGCTTCAACCTCCACAGTACTTGCTCGTCTATCTATCCACAACTGATTCTCATTACGGTGTGACACACTCAACGAGACCAGGCCGATTGGATCAGGAGGAAACTTATACGTAGTGTACTTGGAGAAGGCGTAGGGTTACTGAGCGGATCCAAACTGGACGAATACCTCTCCGACAGCTGAGTAAATCGGCTGTACTTCATCTCGCAGGAAACCAATGACGGCAGGCGAGGCTATTCCTGACATCAGAAATACCCTAAAAACTACAAAACGAGCAAGCCCTCTCACGGCCTGGTTTGCAGGGGTAGTTGACTCCACGGTCGAAGAGCTACTTGCCAGTAACGGTCCTGAGAAGGCATTCGCCTCCCTATCACTATTCTCCTGCTACTACTACCATGGCTCTTAAAAGGCCCTCCGCAGACTGACAACGCCCTGGCAAACCGCCTTGCATGCGATGTTCAGAGGTTGAGTCCGGCATATTTGGTAGAAGGAGGGGCATATGTTCCTAGCAACGTATAGATCCTCTCTAGGGCCCCACTGCCGCCAGTATTGGTCAAGTGTTGCTAGTATAGACTCCAGCCAATGCCGAACAGGTAACCCTCAGATACAACAGGACTCGACTGTAGACATCCCAATGGGTGGCGGAGCCGATCACACCGATCACAACAGTCGATGTGTTGTCGGAGCCCTAGACGTTTACGATGATCGACAGGAGAGTCGACTTCCGTAGCAGCTGCTCTAGGAGGAGTTCCTGTACTATGTTCCAAACGGACTTGAGAGCCTCCACCATGAGCCTGGTTACTAGTGCGATGCCTTGTTCGGGATGTGACTGCAGCAGCTGCTCCAGCATGGGCTGTAGGGCCTTCCAATATTGGTCCAAGGAGGCATCTTTGCCGTGCTTGGTACAGACCAGCCCACCAGCCTTTACCTTGTACACATAGCATACCCTAAATGCTGCCTCCACCCTAGTAGGAACAGCAGGTAACGGGAAATCCCCTTACGATGGCGAGCAGTTACGTCTAACATCAGTCGCGACAGCAAAGCTCCATCACCGTCTAGCAGCTCTGAGGCCCCTTCGGGCACAATACGGTCCATATCCACCTTAGCCAGCTCCCTTCCCTCCCTAGTAGCGGTATGGCATGAACTAAGCCATACCACTACCTGTTGTTACAGTACAGAGAGATCTGAAACTGCGTGATTAACTTTGCAACAAAAAATCTCAGTATTGTGGAAAATTGGTGAAATCATGGAAAATTTGATCGAGAATGGACGTTATAGAATTTAGGGAAAATTCTACCAATTTTGAGCATGTGAACGTTCCTTCTCTCATCTAACGATAGTGAGAGCGGGCCATTGATGAAGTCAAGCTGACGGCCATACGAGCGAGAAATGTAGTTCACACTTGTTCCACGTTAGTCAGAACGGCCCAGAGCCCCTAAAAATTCTGTCCTTGGGAGAGAACCAGTGGCCATCGGCCTCCTTACAGCACAATACTCAATCGTCAGTATCTGATGACAGGGTCGAATGAGAAGTCAATCTACCATGTCAAACGTGTATAATTCTGTTTCCACAAAAAAAGTCCATCTTGTATCAAATTAGTGAGAGGAATCATAGTTGTTGTAAGAGGCGTGCGCTACCTTCATAGAGTTAGCGCGCGCCATTCACGAAGCGCGACTAGGGTTGTGTTAACAGCGGCGGCGACCCACATCGAATCACCTTGTTTTTGTCAGCCATTTTTTGGGAATGCATGACAGTTCGTCTCGTAAAGTGATCGATACCATTGGGCTAAGCCTTCTTTTACTAGTAAGGGCCTAGGGTTGCCGGACCATCGTTGAAGAATGCTGGGCAGATACTTAGCATTGCGGAAGGAGCCGAGACGGGAGTTGCAGCGGACCCCTCGGCTAGAGGGCCGACAATTGCAGATGTACTAGTGGCTCGATAATTTCGTGGCGCGTGAAAACTATATATTCACAGGTCATTCCGGGTTTGAATGTGGAGCCTGGCTCATATCTGATGCCTCTTTGGGGCGTTTTCTCTCTTATCATAGCACCGTCCTGCCTCGGCCTAGCCTGGGGTATCATTGAGGTATTACTTGCCGGTAGTCTGGTGAAAGATATCACTACCGCATCAGATCACACGTCTCTATAAGCTGCCCATAGACGGTAGTGGTGTTAACTATTCCTCTGCCGCTACGGACTCGGGAGTCTCGACTGATGGGTACTACATTGGCCATTCTGGATTTCCCAAAGGCGCTGTCTATTCCTCTAGGGACTCCCCACTACTTGCCGGGTCTAATTCCGTTGAGAAATCTCTCAAGTTGATGCGTGAAGTGAGCGCTCATATCGCCGAGGGAGCCACTGCCTTCTTGGTAGAGGAGTATAAGTAGGTTCTCAGTGCTTCGCTCCGCCCTAGATTTTCCACACCAGGTACCTCTTCGTCTATGTCATAGTATTTGGTATCGTCATTGGTGTTATCACTAGCTGGTTCGCTGCTCTGGCCTTCTTGGTCGGGGCTATCACCAGCTGTCTTTCTGGTTTTATAGGCATGCGGACCGCAGTCTTCTGCAACGTGAGCACTCTCTCGATGCGGTCAACGCCCCTCAGTGCTCATCGTAGGTGCGTACTACTCACGAGTGTTGGAAGGGACTGCGGATGGGATTTGACGTAGCAATACGAGGAGGCTCGGTCATGGGCTTCACCCTAGTGAGGTAGTAGTACCTGAATGCCCGAATGCCCGGCGTGCTCCATCTGCGTTGGCCTCAGCCTGGGAGTACTCACTATATTCGCCCTTATAGCTGTCCTCAATGCCGTAATGGTATTTGAGAATTCAGGGAACAGCTATGATGGCCCAAGCATACTCTTCGAAGCCCTTGCAGGGTAGTAATGAGCCCTTCATCGGTCATCGTCAGGCTCCCATCGATTAGGTACGGCTTAGGGGGTTCATCGATAGCTCTCTTCGCTCGAGTCGGTGGTGGTATCTATACTAAGGCGGCTGATGTTGGAGCGGATCTGAGTGGTAATACCACCCTGGGGGTAGTCCTATCTGTGATGTGCTCTGGTGATGGTAGGGAAAAATGAGTATGGCATGGACGAGGACGACCCACGCAACCCTGCATGTATTGCGGATAACGTTGGTAGGTCTAGCAGTGGCACTAGTGGTACTCACGACTGCTGTGCAGGCGATAACGTTGGGGATATTGCTGGAATGGGCGCTGACCTCTTCGGCTCCTTTGCAGAGGCCACATGTGCGGCATTCGTACTGATCGGCAAGTGAGTGCATTTTGGGTCTTGGTCACAATGATCCTGCTCCTCCTCTCAGCTCTACACTATCTCATCTCAACATCTATGAAGCTCCAATAATGTACCCATTGCTGATCTCCTCATCGGGTGGGTCTATCTATACGCAGCCGCGTCACTAGGAAGCCGTCCCTTATAGGTATCTTCATAAGTTGGCTGACAGTGCTGCTAGTCCCTCTTGTCATGCCGGTCAAGGATATAGACTGCATCGAGCGATCGCTGAAGTAGAGGAGGCCCTTTGGGATAGTTATTCACTCTATGGTGTTGTGTAGGTCACTGCTCTTCGTGTCAACATTGCTGATGACGCCGGCAGTCGTTGGGATTTCCTACGTCTGCCTACCACCAGAGTTTATGGTCGGCATTCGCTCTCCCTTGTTGCCACAGAACCTCAAAGAGGAGGATGCAGGGAAAATGGTGGAGTGGTAAGGCTAGGAGACTCTCCCACACTTGACGGTGTTCGTTATCAGGTATGCCTGTATGGCATCTGTCCTCATGGGTCTATGGTCGGGCCTCCTAGTGGGTCTGGTTACAGAGTAGGGTTACAGAGTGTGTGGTATCCGGGGTGGTAGTCACCATGCTCGGGCAGGTACTTCACGAGCCATAGCTACCGTCCTGTTAGGGACATAGCCCTTAGTCAAAGGACCTCGGCGGCTACTGGCATCATATACGGCTTAGCTCTGGGGTAGAGTGTCATTGATGATACTGCTGTTGTATAGGGCATCGCTGCAGATATCTCTCTACCATCATTCCTGTCCTGGCCCTCAGTGTCACCATCTTGGTGTCACATGAGTTCTGTGGCATGTACGGCATCGCCTTAGCTGCCTTAGGTAACGATAGCCTCTTCTGGCCCTTGACCACTGCCTCTGTGTAGGTATGCTCTCTACCCTATGTGTGGGATTGGCAATAGATGCCTATGGTCCGATAGCCGACAATGCTGGGGGGATAGCTGAGATGTCTCATCTCGGGGCGTCTGTCAGGTGAGGAGCTCCAGCCTTTTCCGATGTCGCATTGTAAGTGGCAGGCGCCGGACGGATGCTTTGGATGCTGCTGGCAATACGACGGCCGCGGTCGGGAAGGGATTCGCGATAGGGAGCGCGGCCTTGGTCGCTTTGGCGTTGTTCGGCGCCTTCTGTACTCGGGCCAATATTGAAAAGGTGGGGGGGTGGTTTTGTCGCGATGTAGGGGAGGGATGGTATGCAGGTTAATGTGTTGAATGCGTGGACCTTCGCGGGAGTCTTGTACGGCGCTATGATGCCGTATGCCTTCTCGGCCCTGACTATGAAGTCCGTGGGGAAGGCTGCTACGGACATGGTGGACGAGTGTATGAGGCAGTTCCCTAAGATCATCAACGGCGAGGCACCTCCCGAGTAGGTTAGGGTACGGTTGTCGACCATTGAGGGGATCTGCTACTCGTAAGCATGGCATAGGGCGCTTCAAGATTGGAGAAGAGGTGGGGCCGCCAGTGCTGTGATGGTCAGTTACACCCGCTGTATATCCATCTCGACATCAGCTAGTCTGAAGGAGATGATACCCCCTGGGGCATTGGTCATACTCTCCCCTCTAGTGTTTGGGATTATATGTGGGAAGAACGCCACTGCTGGCCTCCTAGTTGGGGCGCTCAGCTCGGGAGTGCAGATGGCCATCTCTATGTCCAACACTGGTGGGGCATGGGACAATGCTAAGAAGTGGGATGTCCTCATCCGGACCTAGTTTGTATATTTCTATGTTGAGTAGGTATATCGAGTCCGGTGGTCTCGGCCCTGAGCACGGCAAAGGCAGTGCCACGCACAAGCATGCGGTTACAGGAGACACCGTAGGAGATCCTCTGAAAGATACCTCGGGACCTAGCTTGAACATTCTGGTCAAGTTGTCCGCCATCATATCTCTGGTCTTCGGCAGCATTATAGACGTACGCTTTTCGAATACCAGTGGTGGCCCTATATGGCTGAGGCCCAGTTCATAGGATTGGTGACTGTTGTGGTAAGGCGATGTGATGATGAGTCATGGACGTGGAGTGTGATGCCTTACATATGTTGATAATGAAGGTGTTGTTGAGTTTAGCTGTTTGTTCAATTGGGTGTCTTTTGCTCTGCTAGTTTCTGCTATGGCGGCACCTAGTATCCATCCCTCTCGGGTGATATGTCCGGAGCTGAGGGAGACTGGGCATTGTTCCCAGAGGATAACGTGCCAGTACAATCATAACATGTACGCCTATTGGTCGTGGTGAACCAATGCTACGAGTCGCCTCGGTCGTTTCAATCGGTGATGGCGACGGCGGTTGTTGTTGTTGTTGTTCTGTTGGATCACCAACCCGCCGCAACTATGCTCCGAATTCATCTTTGCCTAGCTACGTTCTGTCGCACTGTGCTGAGTGTCGTATCTTGTGTGTCATGTTAGTCCTAAGATGCCGACAACGGCTCCCTTGATGCAGTCTTCCCATACGGCTGGGCCGAGCACTTGGAAGGGACGGTAGGTTGGGTGGGGGGGGGGGGGGGGGCGGAGTTGTATAGTCTCGGTGTTGGCGCGTTGAGGTTGCTATTACTTAGGGGTGGCAACTCCGTTCCTGTGGCTCCTAAGAGCTCAGCTCCCAGTGTCATGGCCAACTTGTTTGCTTCGAAAGGCTTTGGTAAGGGGAAAGGAGGATATAATGGTGGTAAAGGAGGGTACGATGGTGGTAAAGGAGGGTACGATGGAAGTAAAGGAGGGTACGATGGTGGTAAAGGAGGGTACGATGGAAGTAAAGGAGGGTACGATGGAGGTAAAGGAGGGTACGATGGAAGTAAAGGAGGGTCCGATGGTGGTGGTAAAGGAGGGTATGGTGGTGGTAAAGGAGGGTATGATGGAGGTAAAGGAGGGTATGATGGTGGTAAAGGAGGGTACGATGGTGGTAAAGGAGGGTATGGTGGTGGTGGTGGTGGTAGAGGAAAGGGCTTTTACCAGGAAGACTCGAGCCCAGATGACCGGCCAGATGAGAGGTGAGCAAGGCAATATGCACATGGGATTGAGTGTGTTGGCTTCCAGGACTGGAGGGAATGCAATGGAGATCACCAATCTCCTACCTATGTTCCGAGACGAGGGTTCGTCCCCTAGTGATCACGTGTCAGACCAGCAACCACAGCAACAGTCTCAGGCCCCTCTGGCTCCATCGCAAGGTGGCGTATGTGGTTCTGCTATCACCAATGCTTAATATAAGACCTGTTGCATGGCTATGTTTTGGCAGGTCCCACGAGGCAACAGACTCTGTCCGCTGAAGGCTCGGATGAGGATACGGGCCAGGGTGATCGGCCTAGTATGGAGCATCTGAAGCAGGAGTTGGGGATGCTCCAGCATAAGGTGGGTATCTCGTCTGGGAGGCAATGATGATGTAGTCGGCTATTGACAGCTGGAGCAGCAAAGGAACGAAGGACGGCAGGTGATGCAGTCAGCTGGACAGGGCGAAGGATCGTCGGGGGTAAGAGGTGTCGTTGGCTCTCACCTATATTCAGGCCGTATAGTGGCTGGTATGGGAAGAGGTTGCTGTTGATATTGTAGGCTGCCGTGTCGCGGTTCGAGGACTCGTATCAGGATCAGCGCCTGGTGGCTAGCACACCGGTGGGACAGCCTGAGGGATATGAAGACACCTATCCCGACCAGTATCCCAGCAGGGACCAGGTAGTATCATTGGGCGTGTGGTAGGTGGGTGGGGGAGGTGGTCGGGTTAGGCTCCGAGGACCGAGTCTGGTAGCCGTGGCTATCAGGAGGATGCCCCGCCACCTCCTACGGGGCCTGTTGGTGACGCCCCACCGGGGGCTCTGCTGGGGCATCCTCACCAGCAGCAGACTGTGGATCAACGGTATTTGCAGCAAGCGAACAGTCAGTTTTTGCGACAGGTGGTGGGCTACTATAATGTGGGGGAAATGTGGTACTGTTCAGGCGCCCCTGCAAGAGGCGAGGCCTCGTGTGATAGGATACGAGCACATGATTGGATCGAATCTGAGTCGACATCAAGAGCAGCTGGTAGGGTACTACAATGCTGTTTTGGGTACGTAATGGTTCGATGGTTTAGCCCGTACAAGGCGGCAGTGGACAGGCCCCCTATGTTGGAGGCTACCAACAACAACAGGCTCATAGTAGCGATGGGGATACTCGCATGTGAGTTCTTGAATGCTGGGTAGAACTCACATGCTTTTTTCGCTCAGGTATCCTAGTGACTATGATGGACGTTCGAGAGGGGAGGTCGGCACAGTACCCATCAGGCAGGCGCCTCAGGATGAAGGTCCTTCCCATTGTAGACGGGTCCGTAGTGGGCCATTGGCGTCTTGGTTCAGAGCGGGGACATGACCGAGATCTGCCGCCTCCGAGACGGGAAGACTTCGCTCCTGATCCTCGCCCGACTCTTATTCAAGTGAGCCTAATACTACCATGTAGTCGACGGAGGTATGATGTTTGAAGATACGGAACAGCGAGTCGAGACTACAACACCAGCAACATCAGCAGCAGCATCAGCAGCAGCATCAGCAGTCAGGCTTCTCTCCGGATGATCGGGTTGACCCTTTTGATTCGAGACGGGTGAGATACAATCATCATAGCAAGGGGAGGAGCGAAACTAGAGTGTGTCGGCCCGAAATCTCTATCACTGGGAGGATCTCTATACATTATGGTTATGATGTCGGCCTGTGTGATGGGTGATGATGATATGGTTGTGTTTCTATTAGGATCCTCTCCTCCCCCAATCCATCTCTAGAGACGAGTACGACCATGAATACTACCGTCGGGCCCCTCCCTCAGCGGTCGAGCCTCGCTATGATGTGATCCAACGGGCAGAGGAAGGGTCGAGTCCCTGGTGGCCTCATAAGGACCGGACATACCGGGATGAAATCCAACAAGTGCGGGACACTCGTGCGAGATTCGCCAGATCCAGACCAGTAGGGAGGACCGGTCGTAATGGTCAGAGGCGTGGAGTGCTCATTGTAGGATGCCTGGTATGCTCGGCCAGCCTTGGGTCGCCGTAGGATGCCTAAGTTCCGCTTTGAGCCTAGTGAACGCAGGTGGGAGTACTTGGGCGTCGGTGAGTGATGTCTGCTGTAACATAGGATGCTGTTCGTTGACGATGCGAACCAGCTTGTGTGTACACCCTTCGACCTTCCAGTAGCGGACATGTATCGAGGGTGAGGCATACACCACTGGCTATTGCCATGCATGGATCGCTATTAGGATAACAAAGGATGGTATTGACAAGATGTCTGTGGAGGAGCTCAGGTCGTTGAGGGCGGCATCCCAGCAGGAACGGCATCGCTTGGATGAGTATCGGCAAGGGTAAGGACGTATCGTGGTGTCGTAGTTACACCAGTCCTGTGTTAGGAGCCTCAACGTATTCGGGGACGTTGTTACTCGCATCTACAATCTGGACTATTCCCCTGTGGTGGAGCCTCACCCCAGGATGGTCTGGGGCATGGAGGGCTTCGATCGAGCCCCTACGCGGACGTCTGATGACCGCGATTTAATTAGTTTCGACAGAAAGTCAGTTAACTCTTCTCTGGACGGCCAGAGGTACAGCGAAGCCGCGCCGGTGAGTCTTCAACGGCACATATCCTCAGTGGTTGCGGCGTAGTGGTAGAGTGGAGGTCTTCGTATATCAGGTTCGAACGCCGGATTCAGGGATGCTGCCGGGGCCGCCGAGGGCATTAGGACCTCCCTTGACGGACTCTGTATCGTCGCTACGCAGTCCTCCAGTGGAGCCTGTGATGCCTATGCGGGGGGTAGTACGGGATGGTTTGCTGAACTTCTGCGCAAGGCCTAGAGCATGTAGCGGTATCATTCAATGTGACGTTTGTTGACGAGAGAGTGGTATGACTTGATTGCAGTTCCAACAGTGGGAAGAAGCCCCGTCGAGAAGTTCAGGCCGGGCTGATTCTGTCCCAGATGGCTGCTGTCCGATGTGCCACGCCAAGTTTCCAGACGAGGGTGAGGCTCTGTTCTCTCCACCCTATGCGCCAGGCTCGGTCGGTTTAGATTCGCTACAGCAGCATGCGGAGACCTGCAACGACCAATGCCCGGAGCGGACGGAGTTGCCATGGGGACTTGGCGTAGGGGAGCCGGTGATAGTGAAGAGCTCTTACACCCCGGATGAAGGCGATGAAAATCAGGTGGGGTGCCATAGTTAAATCAGTGTTGCTTATAGTCCAAGTCTATCTTGGCTCGTTGACATCCTCATTGCTATGAATTGTTCATGGAATGGTATGCGCCTTTGTGGATAGCGACGGGCTCGTTGTAAAATGACATGTTTTTGCTTTTGTTTAGCTACCTGTGAATGTCGGTGATGAGGTCCTCTTGTCGGAGATGGATCACGACGACTCCGGTTGGACCATGGTCAATAAGGACGGCATTTTGGGTTGGATCCCAACGGCCGTATTAGACCTCGAACCTCGGCGTCGTCGATAGCTTCTACGTTGACTGTGAATGGCTAAGTGAATGGTTTCTTTTTATTATGGCTTAGCTGTTGTGCTCGGTTGCCCTACATAGCTGGGCGTTATGAAGATGTCCCTCAAAGGTTGAGGGGAGTAGGTCGTCGATAGCTACATCGATAGGCTCGCTATTGCTAATAACGATGCGTAGGCCTTGTCTTCTTGTGCGCTATCTGGTTGTGGCTGATAATGAGGGTATCAGGAGGAGGTTATTCGGCGGGCAGTGGAGATGTCTCGGTATGGCCATGTGCACACGTGCAATTGACCAAATTGGAAGGTGCAGGTCTTTATCTTGTTTAATGCCGTGTCGCGATGTTTAAGGCAATATCACTTTCTTCCACTTCGGCAGTAGCAGCAGCTTTCTGCCGTTGCGGCTCTTCCCGGGCCGCGGCGACTTTGCTTGTTCGTCCATTCACTCCAGTGAGGGTCTTCGGGATGGCTCGTTGACGGGGATGATGCTCTTTGTCCAGGTTTGCTCTCTCAGTGGTCGGTATCGGTCTGCTACTGATGTGCGGTTCCTATCATCATCAGCAACACGCACGCCGAAGGATAAGGAGCTACTGAAGGGTATACCTAAGAATGTGGTGGATGAGAAAACAGGCTCCAGCAAGCCCGCTACATTGAGTACCATATTGACGAAGAAAGAGACGCGAGAGGAGAGTTGGGAAATTATGAAGTACATGAGCAGATTCGTATGGCCACAGAACCCGTAAGGCAGCACCAGCTGAAGGGAAAGCCGATGGGTGTTCTCTTGTCAGGGCCTTCCGGCTAAGAGTATTGAGCTCAGCTGCGTGCATAGTGTTGGCCAAGTTAGCGACAATACAAGCACCGATACAATTGGGGGTAAACACTATGCGATTACATGGGGATCCGCCCATCCCTCGGTCCTTCACAATAGAGTTTCAATTCCTCAGGCGCTGATCAACTCTTTGTCCGTGCCGGTCACAGCTGTGACTACCCCTCTGTTGCTGCTCTCATCGTTCGTCCTGGCCAAAATCTGCCAGTCGGCTTTCACTGAGCTGCGTGGGATCATTTTCGCCAATGTATCTCAGGATGCGTGTCGACGTAAGTAGCTTTTTTAGGAGTCTCTCCCGTGTACTTGTCCCTGCAGGCATAGCACGGAAAGCTTTCGAGCACGTCCACACTCTAGATGTTAGCTTCCTCATCGGTTCCCGCAGTGGGGAGGTCCAGGCCATCATATCGAGATCATTGCGGTCCGTAACGAGCATGCTGAATATGATGCTATTCAATGTGGGGAGTTCTGTCCGACCTTCCTCGGGATGTCTGCATGATTGTTCTTTCAGATGATACCAACAGCTCTCGAGTTCTCCCTGGTGCTATGGGTGAGTACAGGTCCTCGATAGTGGTGGCCTGCTGGACATGTCTTCTTCAGATTCTCGCCACCCATGCTGGAATACCAGCAGCTTTGATCACTACAGCGACCATGGCCGCCTATGTTGGATTCACAACGTAATCGTCATTATGCCTCCCCCGTAGTCAGTTGATGCGTCCTCTCAGTCACTATACAACGAAGCGGAATGAGTATCGCCGGAAGATGAACGTGAGTGTCGCTGATAGGAGTTGAGCGGCGATTGGTATTGCCAAATTAGATGGCCGAAAATGAAGCAAATGCTCGTCTATTGGATTCCGTCATAAACGCCGAGTCTGTGAGGTTCTTCGCAAACGAGAAGAGAGAGGCGGACCTGTACGACCAGTCCCTGGCTAGATATGAGTGAGTGCCTTGTGTGGGCTCTTGGGCGATTATTCAACGCTCTCGATCGGATTTCCGATACGAAATGGACAGCTGGACTCGCGTGGGCACGCAAGTTTGTATCGGAACGCCATGATTGACTACGCTGTCGTCACACGCACAGCAATCTGGAGTTGGGCGGAGTGTGGTATTCTTAGTGTGAAGAACGCCATTTCACTCGTTATATTCATTTCGCGCATCCATTGGCTAGGAGAGCGAGATGGGAGTAAACTTATAGAGCGTCGGTCGATCGATTATCCCTGTTCTCAGGCAGGAGAATATTCGTGTTCTGAAGTCGTTGGGTCGTCTTAACTTCGGTCAGCAGCTAATCTACCACACGGGCCTATTCGCCACCCTATTCATCGCCCTCAACCAGTGTGCCGCTGGGCTCCTCCCTGTAGGGGATCTTGTTATGATAAGTGAGCTTCCCTCTCACTCGGTCAAGCTACGAGTGCAACTACCTGTAGATACTCTCCTGATGCAGCTATCTAGTCCATTGAATCTGATTGGTATGGTCTATCGCGAGACTACTATGAGCCTAGTGGACATGAGCAAACTGCATGCCTTGATGAAGATCCAGCCCTCGATCAAAGATGCCCCCGACGCCAAGGATCTGGTAGTGGCTCTGGAAAGGGCATCCGGCAATCTCTGTTGTTGGCATTGGCTTGGAAGTAGTAGGGTTCTCTTCATAGGTCCTCAAGGGCGGCGAGGTATCCATCAAGGACCTCACGTTCGACTACGGCTCGGAATCGCGGAAGATTCTCAATGGCTTCTCATTGGACATCCCTGCCGGCCATAGAGTAGCGATAGTCGGGTCATCAGGTAAGTGCAGTCTTATGGGGCATCGGTATTGGAGCCTTGAGTTGTAGCGATGGTCTTTATCATGTTAGGAGCTGGAAAGTCTACTGTACTGCGGCTACTACTGCGATTATACGCGCCTAGTAGTGGTTCCATCACTATTGATGGTCAGTCGATCGACTCGGTGACTTTGGCTTCCCTTAGGAAGAATATTGGTAAGCGTGGAGTCGTCCTTGTGATTGAGGTGCTGACTTCGGACAGGTGTGGTACCGCAAGACTGCTCACTCTTCCACGATACTGTCTTCAACAATATACTCTATGGTCGTCTAGATGCTACAGAGGAGGAGGTTATTGCAGCTGCTAAGCTTGCTGAGATTCATAACACCGTTATGGACTTCCCTAAGGGGTAGAGTATGGCGTCTGTGGGTCTGGTCGGAGGGGCACGGCGTGGTAGTTACTAGATTGAATTGTGATAGTGAGTGTGATCACTACTGACTATCGTCAATGATGCAGAGGAAGTGGAATAGTCGCTGTCACGAGTCAACGATAGGTATCAAACATTGGTCGGAGAGAGAGGACTCAAACTGAGCGGAGGGGAGCGTCAGAGGATAGGCATAGCTAGATGTATATTGAAGAACCCGGAGCTGGTGAGTGGTCCTTTGGATGACTTGGTGGTGGCACCATGAGGGTAGGTATTGTTTGACGAGGCGACTTCAGCGTTGGACTCTGAGACGGAGCAGACGATCCTAAAGGGTTTCGAACAACTGACGGCGTCGCGGACGTCACTCATTGTGGCCCATCGGCTATCCACTGTGAGTTGCTGAAGTCGGTAGTGGGGGATCCAAGGTGGACCTCGGTGTTCAGGTTATGAACTGCGATACTATATGCGTGTTAGATGAGGGCAGGATCGTCGAGAAAGGTTCTCACAAGGAGCTCATGGGCATTGCTAATGGAAAGTATGTATGGTGTTGATGATGATACTGATCTTTCATGGGGTCCTGGCTGGGTCTGTCTAGATGGCCGTCTGTGTAGGTATCGGCAGCTATGGGAGCGGCAGTTCCTCATTGACGAGACCGAGACTCTTGATGAGGCCTCTACAGATAGCAATGCTCCCACTCACTGATTCATCCGAACTGTCTCAGCTACTTGTGATGTTCGCAAAATGTGAATTGCAAAGTTTCCAATCCTGGTGGGCTGGCTCTGTGCTGGAATGCTGATCATTGATCGCGTGTGAGATGGTCTCTGTGCGCTCCCCTTGCAAGTCTGTGCTGGACTGTTCTAGTTCTTAGAGTAGCTGAGCTCATCTAGTCTGCTGTTTCTCCACCTGGGTCGCCGTAGTTTTACAACTTGGTATTTTTCTCACCTTTCCAAGCGCGAACTCTCTACAATGTTCACCCGTTCAGTGCTAGGCGCACTGCTCGCCATGGCGGCCTTCGCCGTAAGATATCAGATCGCTTTTGAGGTGGTCAAGTAGTGTTCTTTGTTCAGAGGAGAGCGGAGATACAAACATGCAGCGGCTGACGTTTGAATGGGATTGTCGGAGTCCGCACGTGAGTACCAGGAAAACAGTTGTGGTATTGTCGGTGTTCGATGGGCTTGTTATCGATGTGGTAGTGCAGTTCCCCTAGGAGTACTACTAGGTTCGTGAAGACCCCGGGTCACGTCGATCAATACGAAGGCGTGACTGTTAATTTCATCCCGGGTAGGACTCCGGAGTTGGTGATCTTCGATGACGATGATAAGGAGGTTGAGAGGGTGAGCAACAGTGGCGTTTATTCCCGGGCGAAAACGTCCTTTTGGCCAGGTTAACCTGTCACACTTCGTCGATAAGGATGATGTTGCTAAAGTACACGAGCTCGTGCAATCAAAGGGCTTTAAGAAGAAGAAGGCTTCTGCAGAGGGTAAAGGCAGGAGATGCGTAGTTGTCCATCCTGGTGGATGATGATCGTGTCAGGTGATGAGGAAGGCCCTTATGTTGAGTCGGCTCCCACCGCGGAGGTTGAGCTCTAGAGAGGTGGTCACACGCTAGCGACGACACGGCACTCCCGTCAAGTGTTGGAGAGACGAATGAATCCGACTCTATTAATTCTACGGAACAGGAGTCTTTGGATGATATGCTCTCCCCTTCACCTATGCTGGGTGATCGAGTGTTGTCGAACTAGCGACATTTTTGGGATGTGCGGTGTTGGGTTTTGAAGTTTAATAAAAGGGGGTTGGTGGTCACTTAGATGGGAACTGGAGAGTCGTGTGTATGGTTGTGAAGAGCTCACTGTCGAAGATCAACTCCATGGGCATACTGCCGATGATGCTCATAACAGGGATGGGAGGCAGTTATGTGTACGATGGGGTCGGGCCAGGCTGAGGGAGCTGACACTGCTCTTTAGGATGTATAAGAGACGAGAGTATCTCAACACGCTGGACAAACGGCATCATACGAGGGAAATCACAGACAAGTGACTATGAGTCGGGCGGTGGATCGGCTGTGTTGTCCCTCACGTTACAGATGCTACATGGACATTGGTATTGGGAATAAGTATGCTGGCCGGATCATCATTGGTCTTTACTCGAGACGGGTGCCAATGACGTGCGAGAATTTCGTGCAACTTTGTGAAGGTTATAAGGTTGGGGAAGGGGAAACGGAGAGGCTAGTAGGGTACAGGTGAGCTGTATTGGAGGGTGTTGGCGTAGTAGAAGATGGCCCTGTGCAGGAATACGCTATTTTACAAAGTTCAACCGGGACTGGCCATATTTGGTGGTGACACTGTGACGGGCTCGGGCCAGTCGCGCGGTATGAGCATATACGGTCGGAAGTACCCGGATGAGAACTATCATATGCGGTTCGTGCAAGATGGTAGTAGTAGTAGTAGTAGTAGCACGGCTCTGGGTAGACACTGCTTGGTCGTATTAGGTGACGTGGCCTCAATGGGGTGGGGACCCAATACTAACTCATCTCACTTCATGATAACCCTGCTGCCGAGCCCTCCTCTGCACGGCCGTTATGTTGTCTTTGGCACTGTACTTAGAGGGATGAAGATAGTGAGAGGCATTGGCGACCAGGCTACACGAACAGGTTAGTTCTCCTTCCATTAACCAATACAGGATGTGGTTGAACGTCATCAGGCCAGTTGGTCGAAGAGTGTCGAGTCCTCCAATGTGGACTGTACAGGGATGAGTGCCCACCTCCCGTGCCCCAAGAGTTCCTGGACACCCACAAGCCGACGATGACTCAGATCGATTGGGAGCGGTACGACCGTGAGGTTCAGACCCGACTCTCGGAATTCGAGAAAAGTGGTGAAAGGAGGCCCGAACATGTAGCAAGCACTTCGGCGCAAAAGGTGACCGGATGAGAGTTTCTGCTCTTTGCGGCTGTTGCGATGGGGCACCGTGATACGGAAAGGCGGTTGGTTTATTCTAGCCATTGGTCGTCGCCTCTCATGCTTACACGACTTACACAAGGAGCTCTCGCTGGCTGTACTAGGCGGGGCCTGGGTTGGTTTGGTGAGGTTATGGGCAGCTGGGTTGGAATTTGAATGGTGATCGATAGGTCAACCACGACTAACGGATGTGATGATGGGGGAGCAGAGACGATATTCTCATCACAATGTGGCCAATGGATGGTATAGTCCAACCCGACTGCTCGAATGGAGGAGGCTGCAACTCTACGCACTCGCTGTCCATGTAGGACCATATTGGCAGATGGAGAGAGTCATGTGTAGGGTCTTATAGATAAAACAAAAGCAGAACATGAAGGATCGTAGACGGCATGCATACAGCGGTGCTACACAGCGCTTCTTGCTGACCAGATTTGGATGGATGTTCCGACGGTGAGGCCGTTGGTTGTCGTGGAGGAACATTTTGGCCTATTAGTGCCAATTTGAATTGTGATCGGGCGAGGAAGCGAACTCGTCCACAGCGCTTGACTGCCACCAGCTATCGTCTGCTGCACCGTAGAGACCATGTGTAAGGCAAGCCGCATGCGGTGTGGAAGGTGATGTGGGGTCAACTCAGGTGGATGAAGAAGTTGTGGCCGCATCATGTCTTCTTTGTTCGAGACCCCCCAACAGATCACAATATCAACCTGAGGTTAGAACGGCAGCTCCTGCCCGCTCACATTGCCTGATGGTAACCATGGCCCTTGTGTGCTACACTACGTTTCTGTATTATTCACTGATGTTCTCTTACGTTGATAAGTGTGGGCGGATAGATAGTAGCAAGGGCCAAACGACGTGATCTATTGCTGGAACTCCTGACCGACTCCTCCAACGTCCGAGGAGAGCAGCACGTGTGGTGCAGTGAAGCATTGGAATGACAAGTACAGCGTGATTGTGCTGAACTGACATCCCACTCGACGCATCCCGTGGTCACATTTGATAACTGCAGACTTGGGAAACCTGGGTTTCCATCAATCAATGTTTGCAGCATTTATCTACTCCTGGGCAACTATAGCTGCAACTAGCGCGAAATACGGGTGCTCTAAACGTTGCCACGACATCGTCCAAGAGACAATACACCTTATCAAGTCAGGTGAATAAGTGAGTAGCAACTTCAGTGCTTTGCATTGACAAGGATAACGATGATTGGCCATTGGAGCGTCCCACTCACATCAAACGCGAGACTACGATATCGAACAACACATCAGAGCAGCGTATGCAGAGGGGAGTAGTCATACAGGCGTTAGTCTATCCACCTGCCATATTGCCTTGAGTACTCGAAGTAGGCCTACTATAGGAGGGGGGCTTCATCGACCAAGTCCAGGATTCCCGCTTAGGGGCGCCCCCAATAACACGCGGGGTGTTGGCGCGTCGACTGCGTTCCATCATGTCCCTACTTCGCAAAGGCACGATCGGTTGAACCACCCTGACTTGTCCACGTCCTGAAGGTGGCGCTCGCTTGACGATACGTTTGCCTATCCTTCGTTCTACCGATGGTGGACGCACTGAGATGCCACTGCCGCCTGTCCGGCCACCAAGAGCGCTGGCCATACCTCGACTACTCCCAAGAACGCCATTGGTGTAGTTGGCGGATATCCGTCTACTCCTCCTCTCAGTGAACTCTGCCTCCCCAGTATGGCTGTCGAAAATGCGAGATGTTTGTATCTTCTGAGCATTCGCCCAAGCCTCGGGTCCCCCCAATGGAGTGCGGAGGCTCAAGACGATCCTTGAATCACTAGGATTAATGACTTGTGATGCTCTCGCCCGATCAGCGATACCGAGAGCCTGTTCACCACGTAAACGGAACCCTCTGGGTGACAGACCCAGCCGTGTCACCATCGATCCCTGAGTTCGAGGGAATATCCTTCGTGACGATGTTCCTGGAGCACTGCGGCCCTCTCCAATATTCGCCAGATTCCTCACTGACACCTGCATAGGTTTCACATGCTTCCTCATTTCCTCGAATTCCATCCGTGCAGCATCCGGGCTGACATGGCTCTTCCCTTTCCTAGAGGGCGCCCGGTCAGACGGAACAAACTTCGGGAATGGTGATGGACTCGGCAGCATAGGCTCCTCTTGCGTTACCGTGTGATCCATGACACCTGATACCCCACCACCGTCTGATCCCCTTTTGGTGAAACCTGCTGGTGGATGCTCGTACCTGCTCATAGACACAGCAACGATAATGATTCGTTGCTAGCCTCACTTCGGTAGCGGCGGAGGGGGAGGGGGAGGCCCTTCTGTGTTCCTCTTAGCCCCCAAGGGCTGTGCTTGCGAGAGATCTCCATACGAACCTAGAAGACCGCTCCCTCGCATCTGTCTTGCGTAAATATCTCTGGAGAGACTTCGAGGTGATAGCATTGCAATAAAAATCCTCAAAGTCGCTGCAGCCACCCAACAGATACCTATGAGAGGGTCTCGTAGGAGAATATTGCATTAAACACGAGTCGCTCTTTTCTAACAACGATTGAGTACATTAGTGCTAAATTTCACTCATGAGGAGTTTGTAGGCAGAATCTTGCCGATACCCAGCGCAGGCACACCGATCCTGCCGCTGTTTGTGATGTACTCAGGTGTACATGATTGCCGTAGCGTAGAGGAGTCCTTGAGAACCCCTTCCGCGTTAGCCTGGTCCTCCCCGAGGCCACGTTGGATCTCTTCCTCTGTCTGGACCGCCTCCCAATTCCCCTTTGAGACGGCCGCATACACCGCCTCGGTGGGCTCGTTGTAGGAGACGTGATCGACCGTATCTTAGTATCCCGTCTCTCGTCGATGCTTCCTTACATAACTTCGGGTTGAAGGGCCCCGTGGTGTTCACCTGCCTGAGGTTCGCCGTAGACCATGAACGTGTTAGGGAGCGGTGACTTTGAATAGACCATGGGTCATCTCATCTGCTAACCACCTTTCGTAATCTCATCCTCTAGTAGTGACCGCCAGTTCGATACAACTGCGGTCGCCTCCAGAGGAGCCCTTGTTGTCAGACATGTTCAGGTTCTAGAGGGCTGCTGGTATCCATATACTATGAACGACGATCCCCAGGTAATTGACGAACTCGGGCCAACGTGTGAGAATCAGATTTCAATGGTATCGTCGATAATAGACTACAATGTACAGGAACAGTCTCTGCCTTCTACTCTCCTTACAGCCTGCTCGACGAAGGCGACGCACTTCCCCGCTGCATCATGTCGAACGTATTCCGTGCACGACCGTCTCTGATAGGCCCTGATGGCTGTCTGTCCTCCCAGGAAGTGGGCGTGGAGTGGTATTGATACTTATCATACGGCGCACTACGCTGATACCTATAGCTACTCCCATAGGCGCGACCAACCGGCTCCAGTGGCCTAGGTACATGGACCGATGCCTGCTGCCGTAGAGGTACTGCGGGAACTGCTCGCAATGGATGGGCAGCTTTTCTAAGACCCCCACGGGGAGGGGTACAGGACGCCGTCGCCGGAGTGTAGTGTTGGATCTGCTCTATCTCCTTATCAATGGTAGTTGGAGTGGTACGGTCTAACACGACCTTAATTGGCTTCGACATTGGTTTCTCCCCAGATATCTCCACATCTCTACCCTCTCCGTGGTACCGCTGGAAAATGGCTTCGACCTCTGCCAGCGTCCTCTGAATAGAGACGCTCGTACGGTCCTCCACTGAAAGCACTTATTGCCAATATCAGAGGAAGGCTCCAGAGGACTCTCCACGCAGATGATGTCGTTGCTATGGTTCCTCTTGCTCACTACGTCGAAGCGTCGCTCCGCCTTACTGAACATTCGCCCACCGTTAGTGACCGAAAGGCCGTACATGTCGCAATGGAAGTCACGACCTAGCCACTGAAGCATGTCCACTAGCAGGTGCCCGAGGCTCTCGTTTCCCTCGGCTGTGCGAGAGTATCCGAACGACGTCGGATGTTGCTGTAGGAAGGCGATGACCAAGCAGGCGGCCAAGTAGCTGCCGACTCCTCCAGTGAAGGTAAGGTTGAGCTTCCTTGAGGCGAGGTAGGTCTTGAGGAATATCATCAAGGGCTTGAAGGCCGGGTACTTCTCCACTCCCTCTCGTATTACGAATTTGGTCGTATTAGAAGAATCCGGTTCGCCGGAGGAGTTGTCGTGCACCGAGACGTCGACTTCGACGTGTGGAGGTAGCACGTCCACGAGTTTGACAATGGGCACTCGAGCGGTCTCGCGGAGCTCCAACTCCTTCAGCTGGCCCTGACTGAGGAGCTTATCGGAGAGCATTCGGACGGCCTCTACTGCACCAACAGGCACATTCTGGAGGGAAAGATCGATGTCGCCACTAGGGAGGCTCAGACCAGAGAGGAAACTGCCGAAGACTTTGAGTTCACATTGCGGCCAGAGATCCTTGCAGACCCCATTGATCCTCGCGACGAACTCCTCCCTTGCTTTCACTTCATCGTCGTTGAGGACCACCCACTTGGTGTAGTCTACGAGCTCCTCGTGAAGCATGAGGTGCATAGGCAGATGAGGGTCGTACCCGCCCTTGGGCCACCAGGGTGGGGCTTGTGACATGGCTGGTGCAGGCCTAGAGCTAGCAACGATGCCCTCGAAGGCCTCAGGGACGGCGTTGGAGGAGGTGGAGACGCCCATGAAGTTGTCACCTTCCTTGCCTATAGTTCCAGCCTCTGCGGAGGAGTTCCTCTGTCGGGGTTTCCGTAGAAGCTCTCGCATAGACTTGTTCTTCCCTGCCTGAGAGATGAGTGGGTCATCGGGCACCAAATCGACAAGATTCCAATGAGGTCAGCAAGGCGATCACTGACTGCTCCCATAAGTACTACCCTTTCCTTGTTCATCTCTTCCTCCTCTGGAGTTATGAACTGTTCTATAAACGCCTCATATGCCTCGTTGGGGGCATCTGTGGGCTCGGAGACCTCTACTGCGTCTTCATTGGTTGACATTAGAAGGAAGAAGGGAAAAAGGAAAGTTCATGATGGATCGCAGGAATAAAGGAAGTTTAGGATTTTGCAAGAGTGCAAGAGCTTACGCTTTCGGACATGTGGAATTCGGGTATGCCTCCGCACTGTATGTCCAAATTCGGAGTCCGCAGGTGACTCTTGATGGCTGCGGATGGCCGTAGAGGAGCATGCAGCTGGCTGGCAGGGAAGCCTTTAAGTACTAGGGGGTCGGGTAGACTGTGATAAGGAACTTTCCCCGACGCAGGCGGTGTCGCCGACTAGTGGGCCACCTTGGTGGGCGACTGGTTAGCCTCATAAGTGGCAGGAGGCCCCTCAAAGGGTCCTCATGAAGTCTCGCAAGGGATACAGTATCGTGTAGATGAATGACCTTGCCCAACCACAGCTATCGTCTCCTAGACGCCGGTCTCCATCGTCACAGACTCCTCAGCCAATTGTCTCGGGTGTGCTCTCAAGGCCAGGTGGCTTTCCCCACAGGGCCCACTTTAGAGAAACAAGCATCACGCTAGAGAAGTGAGGAAGAGTATCCCCTCGACGCTTATCACTTCCAAGATTCAGACTCTGAATTTCAGAGTCTCAGATACCTCGTTGGGAGATCTTTCGATGGCCGGCGGAGTGCCCATGAAGGGCCCTCTATATTACCCAGTATGGCACTATCTGCTGGCCTGGTATGCAGGAACCTGTCAAATGCCGAGATCCAGCTGAAGGAGTAGTCTTATCGAGGGACGCGGGGCCGACTCATGCAAGGAGTGCAGCGAGGGTAGGGGTAAACCGGAACTATACCGGCCGAGTAAGGTCTTCACTGGTACTCGAGTGGCTGTACGGCATATTGGAGAGGCCTAGATGGAGTTGGCTTCGCCGGTGGCGACTAGGGCCTCCTCTCTGCGGGTAGTATCGGGAGTCCTAGTATAAACAGCGGCGTTCGTAGGGCACGGTACGAATCTTTTGAGAGGGGTATTACACAGCCCTCTCGCCCGACGGGGTACGAAGGGCTAGGGCTAACGATCCTCTAGTGGCGAGGAAATCCGGTTGCTCGGGGATGAAGGCCAGAGGTGGGGGCATGCTCAGAGTGTCGTAGTCATATCGGAGAGGAAGGTGATGGGCATAGTCTTCAACGGGAACGGAGGAGGTATACAAAAGAGGAGTTACCCTCAATGCCGAGAGACTATACTCAACGCTAGCACGGTAGTCAGTGTCGTACTGGTGGAGGCTGGGCCAACAGAGGGAGCGGCTAGACGGTAGAGGGTTGGCGCCTCCATGGCCGTAGTAGAGCTGGAGAGAAGCGACTCACTTGTGGGAGCTCGCTTTGGATTGATCCCCAGGCCTGTTACGGTAGCGATTGTCGCTAACGGTGGGCGCCACTTTCCCAATAGGAAGGCTTCTTACATAGCTGAAAGGCCTCCAATCGTCGTGGTCAGGTGAGCAACGGAATTCTCGGTGAACCGATCGACTCTGACGGAGACTGAACGTAATAGCAGTGGTAGTGAGTGGATGTATACATATGAGTGTAACCAATATAGCTCTGCGGAGCTGCTTGAATCAAAGCTACCGAGGCGGCCTGGTGACGGTATCATTCAAGGGTGGGGTATTGGGGGAGAGCTACTACCAGACAGGGTCTAGCAGTAGCTCTACAAGCTTTAGAGCAAACACATGCAGCGGGTGGTCTTCTAGGCAGAGTTATGAGAAGGGAGGCTCTGTAACCGTTAGTTTTAGTCCGATAAGCATCTCTAGAAGCGGCGACAAACTCATCGGGATACTCTAGTGTGAGTTCTATTATCAGTGTCACCTCTTTCTCGGGGAGTCTCGCACAGTCGCTATAGTGATGAAGAATAGCGATAGTGCGAGAGTCCCCACATCATCTGTGGCCAGTATTTACGTCGTTTCGTACTCGTAGTTGTGATCATGCTTCCGCATGTTGAAATCATTGGTGTATTAACTCGGTTGTGGATACATATATAGTGTTGTGTTGACCATCGCCTTATGGGCTAAACCCATTTCAACAATGCCGTGTGCCCTCAGTTGTGTGGGTGTTGTACTTTGTACTATGGGCGTGACCATTGGTTCACGTACCTACTCCCTCCGACGGACACTAGCCTTAGGCCTCTTCCTTCTAGCCTACTCGGCCCTTATACCGGGTCTGATCCTGCCC